AGCACTAGGTACAGTGTGTAGGAGGGGTTTATCGGCCTTAATTTTATTATCTGATGTAAAAGAGATCCAGCACCAGGTACAGTGTCTAGGAGGGGCTTTTCAACCTTAATTTTATTATCTGATGTTAAAAGAGATCCAGCACTAGGTACAGTGTGTAGGAGGGGTTTATCAACCTTAATTTTATTATCTGATGTAAAAGAGATCCAGCACCAGGTACAGTGTGGAGGAGGGGTTTATCAACCTTAATTTTATTATCTGATGTAAAAGAGATCCAGCACCAGGTACAGTGTCTAGGAGGGGTTTATCAGCCTTAATTTTATTATCTGATGTAAAAGAGATCCAGCATCATGTACAGTGTGTAGGAGGGGTTTATTGGCCTTAATTTTATTATCTGATGTAAAAGAGATCCAGCACCAGGTACAGTGTGTAGGAGGGGTTTATCGGCCTTAATTTTATTATCTGATGTAAAAGAGATCAAGCACCAGGTACAGTGTCTAGGAGGGGTTTATCAACTTTAATTTTATTATCTGATGTTAAAAAAAAGATCTGGCAGAGGTACAGTGTGTAGGAGGGGTTTATTGATCTTAATTTTATTATCTGATGGAAAAGAGATCCAGCATCAGGTACAGTGTGGAGGAGGGGTTTATCGGCCTTAATTTTATTATCTGATGTAAAAGAGATCCAGCACCAGGTACAGTGTGGAGGAGGGGTTTATTGGCCTTAATTTTATTATCTGATGTAAAAGAGATCCAGCATCAGGTACAGTGTGGAGGAGGGGTTTATCAACCTTAATTTTATTATCTGATGTTAAAAAAAAAGATCTGGCAGAGGTACAGTGTGTAGGAGGGGTTTATTGATCTTAATTTTATTATCTGATGTAAAAGAGATCCAGCACCAGGTACAGTGTGTAGGAGGGGTTTATTGGCCTTAATTTTATTATCTGACGTAAAAGAGATCCAGCATCAGGTACAGTGTGGAGGAGGGGTTTATCAACCTTAATTTTATTATCTGATGTAAAAGAGATCCAGCACCAGGTACAGTGTCTAGGAGGGGTTTATCAACCTTAATTTTATTATCTGATGTAAAAAAAAAGATCTGGCAGAGGTACAGTGTGTAGGAGGGGTTTATTGATCTTAATTTTATTATCTGATGTAAAAGAGATCCAGCATCAGGTACAGTGTGGAGGAGGGGTTTATCAACCTTAATTTTATTATCTGATGTAAAAGAGATCCAGCACTAGGTACAGTGTGGAGGAGGGGTTTATCAACCTTAATTTTATTATCTGATGTAAAAGAGATGCAGCACCAGGTACAGTGTGTAGGAGGGGTTTATGGGCCTTAATTTTATTATCTGATGTAAAAGAGATCCAGCACTAGGTACAGTGTGGAGGAAGGGTTTATCAACCTTAATTTTATTATCTGATGTAAAAGAGATCCAGCACCAGGTACAGTGTGTAGGAGGGGTTTATCAACCTTAATTTTATTATCTGATGTAAAAGAGATCCAGCATCAGGTACAGTGTGGAGGAGGGGTTTATTGATCTTAATTTTATTATCTGATGTAAAAGAGATCCAGCATCAGGTACAGTGTGTAGGAGGGGTTTATCAGCCTTAATTTTATTATCTGATGTAAAAGAGATCCAGCATCATGTACAGTGTGTAGGAGGGGTTTATTGATCTTAATTTTATTATCTGATGTAAAAGAGATCCAGCATCAGGTACAGTGTCTAGGAGGGGTTTATCAACCTTAATTTTATTATCTGATGTAAAAGAGATCCAGCACAAGGTACATTGTCTAGGAGGGGTTTATTGATCTTAATTTTATTATCTGATGTAAAAGAGATCCAGCACCAGGTGCAGTGTGGAGGAGGGGTTTATTGATCTTAATTTTATTATCTGATGTAAAAGAGATCCAGCACCAGGTACAGTGTGGAGGAGGGGTTATCAGCCTTAATTTTATTATCTGATGTAAAAGAGATCCAGCAACAGGTACAGTGTGGAGGAGGGGTTTATCAACCTTAATTTTATTATCTGATGTAAAAGAGATCCAGCACCAGGTACAGTGTGTAGGAGGGGTTTATCAACCTTAATTTTATTATCTGATGTAAAAGAGATCCAGCACAAGGTACATTGTCTAGGAGGGGTTTATTGATCTTAATTTTATTATCTGATGTAAAAGAGATCCAGCACCAGGTACAGTGTGTAGGAGGGGTTTATCAACCTTAATTTTATTATCTGATGTAAAAGAGATCCAGCACAAGGTACATTGTCTAGGAGGGGTTTATTGATCTTAATTTTATTATCTGATGTAAAAGAGATCCAGCACCAGGTGCAGTGTGGAGGAGGGGTTTATTGATCTTAATTTTATTATCTGATGTAAAAGAGATCCAGCACCAGGTACAGTGTGGAGGAGGGGTTATCAGCCTTAATTTTATTATCTGATGTAAAAGAGATCCAGCACCAGGTACAGTGTGGAGGAGGGGTTTATCAACCTTAATTTTATTATCTGATGTAAAAGAGATCCAGCATCAGGTACAGTGTGTAGGAGGGGTTTATCAACCTTAATTTTATTATCTGATGTAAAAGAGATCCAGCATCAGGTACAGTGTCTAGGAGGGGTTTATCAACCTTAATTTTATTATCTGATGTAAAAAAAAAAAAGATCTGGCAGAGGTACAGTGTGTAGGAGGGGTTTATTGATCTTAATTTCATTATCTGATGTAAAAGAGATCCAGCATCAGGTACAGTGTGGAGGAGGGGTTTATCAACCTTAATTTTATTATCTGATGTAAATGAGATCCAGCACTAGGTACAGTGTGGAGGAGGGGTTTATCAACCTTAATTTTATTATCTGATGTAAAAGAGATGCAGCACCAGGTACAGTGTGTAGGAGGGGTTTATGGGCCTTAATTTTATTATCTGATGTAAAAGAGATCCAGCACTAGGTACAGTGTGGAGGAAGGGTTTATCAACCTTAATTTTATTATCTGATGTAAAAGAGATCCAGCACCAGGTACAGTGTGTAGGAGGGGTTTATCAACCTTAATTTTATTATCTGATGTAAAAGAGATCCAGCATCAGGTACAGTGTGGAGGAGGGGTTTATTGATCTTAATTTTATTATCTGATGTAAAAGAGATCCAGCATCAGGTACAGTGTGTAGGAGGGGTTTATCAGCCTTAATTTTATTATCTGATGTAAAAGAGATCCAGCATCATGTACAGTGTGTAGGAGGGGTTTATTGATCTTAATTTTATTATCTGATGTAAAAGAGATCCAGCATCAGGTACAGTGTGGAGGAGGGGTTTATCAACCTTAATTTTATTATCTGATGTAAAAGAGATCCAGCACAAGGTACATTGTCTAGGAGGGGTTTATTGATCTTAATTTTATTATCTGATGTAAAAGAGATCCAGCACCAGGTGCAGTGTGGAGGAGGGGTTTATTGATCTTAATTTTATTATCTGATGTAAAAGAGATCCAGCACCAGGTACAGTGTGTAGGAGGGGTTTATCAACCTTAATTTTATTATCTGATGTAAAAGAGATCCAGCACCAGGTACAGTGTGGAGGAGGGGTTTATCAGCCTTAATTTTATTATCTGATGTAAAAGAGATCCAGCACCAGGTACAATGTGGAGGAGGGGTTTATCAACCTTAATTTTATTATCTGATGTAAAAGAGATCCAGCACCAGGTACAGTGTGTAGGAGGGGTTTATCGGCCTTAATTTTATTATCTGATGTAGAAGATATCCAGCATCAGGTACAGTGTGGAGGAGGGGTTTATTGGCCTTAAATTATTATCTGATGTTAAAAAAAAAAAAATAAAAAAATCCAGCACTAGTTGACAGTGTCTAGGGGGGGTTTGTCGGCCTAAATTTTATTATATCATGTAAAAAAAAAAAGATCTGGCACCAGGTAAAGTGTCTAGGAGGGGTTTTTAGGGCGTTATTTTATTACAGTATTATTATACTCGCCTACACAGGTAAAATTGCAACGTATGTTCAACATATGTTAAACATACGTTGCAATTTTACCTGTATATAAGTGGGTCCGCCTATAAGTCGGTTGTATTTTTTGAGGTTATTTTAGAGGGATTTGCTATTGACCGGCTTATAAGTCGGTACAACTTTTTGTTAGAATTAATTGACAATTTCAAACCAAAGCTCTGATGTTTTAACCTGGTTTCAGTTAATATTCTTATGAATGACATCGATATTTAATTTTAATTCATTAAGAAAAATACATAATGCACACTTTAAATAAAAATAAAGTTATTAAAATATGTAAATACTTGTACATTATGTATAATCTCAGAATGCATAGATGATATGATATATCCATACTACATTTCGACGTCCAGATAATACTAATCTTTTTATGACTCGCCTATAAGTCGGACCTAGAGTTTTGGACCAAAATTTAACTCCCAAAAAACCGACTTATAGGCGAGTATATACGGTATCTGATCTAAAAGGGGGCAATGTTAAAGACAAATTGTTCTGTATATATGTGAAATAATATAACTCACTTTTTATTTGCGATAACTTTTTTTTCGCATAATAATGTGTGACAGTCTGCTCACCAAAATTTCTTTTGCACAAATATTTTTATTTGTAAAGATTATATAAAACACTAACCAGAATTAGTGATTATTTTGTCGTGTTTATAACGACCTAAGACCTATCTCACAAAAGTAAGGCGAAGCAAGCATTTGGTGACCTACAGTAACAGATGTGCACTAAGAATTGTAAGTACAATGTATCTGGTGACTACATCTATAGACAGAAGATAGGGTCCCACCAAAAATTCTAATTCTAGATAGTATCCAGTACTAATAATGTATATCCATTTCTCATTGAAGGTGTTTTGTAAATATGAGAACATTATTCAGTAACAATCCAAATACTGGAATGCACGGATTAACTTGAAAATTATTATTTTAGCAAGAGTTGAAGACATTGTTTTGTTTAATCAGACATGATTTACTTATTTGTATCTCAGGGCTGACGTGTACGGGCAGTGTTCATGAGCTCAAACCAGACAGGCCCGACTGGAGAGATGGATGTAGAATAAACTTTAATGAGAGGTTTGTAAACATATATAAGTGTTGTATCTATGGATGCACACTACCAGACCATATGAGGTTTTGCCTTACATTTGTTGAGGCAGGTTACTTAATCTTTGGTTGCCTATGTTTAAATACATTTTGTTTTTCATTGCAACCCATAACAACAAATTGAAAATATTTATGTAAAAAAAAATATTTATAAATTGCCATAGATATAATGTAAACCAGTCAATGTACAGACACTGTAATAATTTTGACAGGGGAGGAGGATGTGGTGCCGCCATGAGAGCCATGTGTATTGGTCTCAGATACCCACGGTATGTAAGTTAAATCTCCACTTCATTATCATTTACAACCATGAGAGCCATGTGTATTGGTCTTTTTTTTCTGAAAATCTTGTGGTGGTTGCTCATTTTATATGTAGAGCAGAATGATAAAAGTATCATGTACACAAAAAACAACAATAAGCATATTTTTTTTTATTTTCCCATCTCCAAAATATTCATTCCGTTATTATATTAATATAAATATATTAATATAAATATATACATTCTAAACCAGTGCACAGTGGTCCAAGGGCCAAATTGTTCATGCTCTGAACATTCATCGAGTTCTCTGCACTGTGACTTGGAATCGGAAAAGGGGGGGGGGGGGAGGAGTCACTTGACCCCACTTCATATTTTAACCATAAGTCACTTATAATAATTGTTACAAAATATATTAATTTTAGGAAAATTCATTGAGCAATTTTTTGTCAAGATGTTGAAAACTGCTCTTGGGGTGAAAATATTACTGCAAATTTACAATGACTACTCCCCAAAGCAACTGTGGCATTAGTACATCTATCAATAGTTTCCGATACAACTTTTATTTTCGATGAATATAAAGCATATTATTTAATATCTGGTGAAAATTATTTAATTTGTTTCAATTTTGATACCTGTATGGCATACTTAAGATTTCACTACATAAATATCAAAATATTGAAAAACGGTGGTTACCATGGCAACCATATCTTCCTTATAACCCTGATGACCATGGTTGAAATTTTCATATTATGATACCATTAACGTAAGACAAATTATATGTAAAAATGAGAAAAATTCATAGAGCGGATTTTTTTCATGTACCCTTGCAATCTCTTCCTTAAATTATTCCACATTTATTTAGTTAAATCTAATTCTACATCATGTGTATTGGTCTCAGATACTCATTGTAAGTCAGTTAAATCATTTACTGATTCTAAGTCAAAGTGTAACTGGATTACCTTTGACTGTATGTTTACATGTAGGAAGAAGAGTTCTCACAAATGCTAAACCAATTTATGGTGTCACATGTTTGAAGACTTTTGCTTGCCTTACTCAGAAATTAAGCTAACCATCCATTTTTTTCTATGAATAGTTAAAGTTTAATACTAATATGAAAATCTGAGAAAGAATTTGTCAGTGAATTTTTTCGAGAAAGAGGTGGGCAGTTCAGACAAAAATGAGAATTTTCTATTACAGTGAGACAGAACTATCAGATTTAATTGCTGTAAGCATTGAGGCAGGCAGGATGACCCACCACCACCCCACAGGTTACCTTGGGAGTTTGGCTGCTGCTCTGTTTACATCATATGCTATACAAGGTACATAACTCTGTGTGTTTGTGTTTGGTCTTCCTACAAGCTCATATAACCATATGTATACTCTAAAGGTACATAACTCTGTGTGTTCACGGTGTAGTACCTAAATGGATGCTATCAGAAAAAATGCGCGTACATTACTGCTATCCGAAAATTGTGCGGTTACTACTGGAAAAAAATGGACGAAATGGTAAGTATTTTTCTTCGCTGGCTCAATAAAATGGTCAATAATTCAATTATTAAAGATTAGCTGCTTAGTATTTCACTCTTACGGAACATAACATACCTTTTAAAACTAACTTACATCTCTAAATTTTTAATAAATAAAAGGATTGCTGATGTATAGGACGAAAACTGTCGAAAGCCTAGGACACATTTACATGCACATAAGAAATATATCTAATTAGCATCGAAATGTTTAGATATTTGATAAAAATGAATTGACAGATCGGTGCATATTTTTAAAAAGTATTGATTATTTTATACAATTACCCATCTTAATCGGTTTCTTAAAAACAAAAGCATTTTTATTCGGGGGAACTTATGTTATGGCTACTATTAGAAAACAACACCGGTTTCTATTGGAAATGTCTGAATTTTTCAATTTTTCTTTAATACACGTACTTAATTTATATCTATTATGCAATAGTTTAGAAAACTATTTTGAAATGTTCATTCTATATTCTTTTTAATAATAGACTTGTTTATATTACCTTGATTTTAATAATAGACTTGTTTATCAGGCCCGTAGGAAGCAAATTCAGTTGGGGGGGGGGGGGGCCCCATACCGAAATAAGTTATAACTAAGTTATAACTTTTCTGTAACTTTTTTGTACCTCAAGAAAAAGTTACATTTTAGTTATAACTTTTCTGTACCTAAAATGGACTTAGCCATTTTTAGATGTAACTAAAATATAACTTTTCTGGACTTTGTCATTTTACTGTATAACTTTTTGTACCTTTTTGAACTTAGCCATTTTCTGGTGTAACTAAAAGATAACTTTTCTGGACTTTGTCATTTTACTGTATAACTTTTTTGTACCTTTTTGGACTTAGCCATTTTCAGATGTAACTAAAACATAACTTTTCAGGACTTTGTCATTTTTCTGTGTAACTTTTTTGTACCTAATTTGGACTTAGTCATTTTGCAGAGTGGCTACTTAGTTAAACTGAATATTTTGGTGGTTTGTTTTGTTTTGTTTGTTTTTTACCATACACCTAAATTAAATTTTTTTTTATATAACTGTTGAAATTTAATCATATAAAATAATAAATAAGCATGATTATATTAGTATAGTAATACAGTTTTACATACCTGTAATATCTACAGAGGATATGAATAAAAAGGTGGGGATGATTAAGGGCTACATAAAGGTACCACTGTTTATATGCAGAATTTTCTTTATCTAAAAATTATTCATATAATGAATTGCATTATATACTGCTATTACTTACGCAGACATTTATTTTTCTGTTTTGTTGTGAGTTGAGATTTTTTTTTAAAGAAAAAGGGGGGCTTCTTAGACATCTTTACTACCAATGTTTTTCTCATCCATTGCAGTCCACAGCCACATCCACAGAAGAGATGTGAAGTTGAGACTTGTAGTAAATTACATCTGAAGTTGGGAATAAATCTCTCTCTCTCTCTCATTAATAAATATTGTTGTTTAATTAATATTTGTCTTGTAAGTACTAGTTTCATCTAAAGTTGGGAATAATCTCTCTCTCTCTCTCTCTCTCTCTCTCTCTCTCTCTCTCTCTCAGAAAATACGTATTATATAGATTTCATGTTTTGTAAATTATATGCATGTACATCTTAAGGTGGAATAATTTCCCTAATTCTGGAGAAATATAAATGTTCAAGAGATATAAACAGTGGTCAAATGTTATAATCTCATGAAATCATTTAATATTTTGCACAGATTTTTCTTCGTGTGCAAAACAGTGTTAATTTCCCCATTGTTTTCTCGTGACACAGGTGTTTGTACTAGATGACCTTTTTGGCCTACACTTCGTAAATTTCAGCTTGTGTATTACGCAATGGTACAATTTTACAAGGGTTGTTTGAAATCTAAAGTAAATCAATCGTAATAAGGGTGGCTAGAAAGATAAACAACAACATACAGTGTGTGTATGTTCATTTATTAACAGATATTACGATGTTTGGAATAAAGACTGCCAGTTATATTAAGATTTTAGCAGAAGACTAGGACATGTGGATTTTATTATCTGCCTGATTAAATAACCCAGTTTTACTAGTTATTTTCATAAATAAATAAAATATTAAATTCAAAATGGCGGCAACGACACAAATATGGCGGCCCCGACGTCCGTTTTGTCCGTTTTGTTGGAACTCTATTTCAAAATTTTAACACCAACTGGCTTTTTAATATTTAAGTTAAGTTTCAAAATACACAATTATGTTTATTTGGATTTAAAATAAATTAATAATGAATTATTTATTTATTTATTTTCAATCACGTGACTTATTCTAAGTCTCTGATTGGTCAACAACAGAGCGCGGATTTTTTCATGGACGATTTGAATGTTGGTGTGTTGAAAGTGTTGATAGAAAAACGATGACAAAATCATTCGGTAAGGCAATATTTATGTTAATATTTTGATGTTTTTGGTAGGAAATGTTTATTACCTCTAGATGGGCCTTCAAAAAAGAAGAAATATGTGGAATGAACAAAATTCTAGGCATGTGAATCTCAGATTTCTTGTTTGTTTTGATTGGTGTGTCAATGACAAAGACTGAAGTGAAGAAATTGAAACATAATATTTTTTCAGCATTTAGTATATGAACAAAAAATGTTATTCTTTGTCATATTTAATTCTTTAAATATTCCTATAGATCAGTTTAATTATTAAATGACCTATATTGTGTAATTGTTTAACAGATTCTCTGAACTGTTTTAATATTGTACATATTGTAGCCTTTAAACACCACATGATCATAACATGATATAGTGTACTGAAATGAGTAAAATAAAATTTCTAATTTTTATTTAATTTCAGCAGTATACTGGTACATTATTTCTTTCCATGAGCATCTCATGTCTGTGCCAAGCTGGAGTGAAATCCTTCAAAAATATCACCTGTTTTAGGTAAGTAAATAATCAAATCTTATTTTTATTTCAAATTCGATAAATCTAAAGCTAATTCCTATAAAGCTGTCAGGTTCTATATTGTTCTTTATGTTTAAAATTTTTTTTAATGCATGTTTATGTGATGAGTCTTGAGGTTGAATTTTCTCAATTACACAACAGAACTCTAATTCTTGTTTTCCAAGTTATAGATGCATATGCCTTGAATTTGATTGAATTGATATTAAAGAGTGGTTCCAATCTGATCTGCTTTGAGTGCAGGAAACACTTCAACTTTTTTTTAAAAGAAAAAATTAAAATATTTAAAGTTTGAACCTTTTTAATTTTTGCAGAATTGAAGAAAAATGAAGAGAAGGTTGAAATTGCAAGCATATTTCAAATGAAGACTCGGACGACTACCAGTGCAGGCCATTGAGAGGCGCAGACCATCTGCCGGCCAGCTAAGTCCCTCGACCAGCTCGGCCAAATACCAGTGCAGCCTGTCGAGGGGGACATACTGCTGGCCAGCCAAGTCCCATGACCACTTCAGCCTACTACCAGTACAACCTGTCAAGGGGCGCAGACCGCTGGCCGGACGGCCAAGTCCCTTGACCAGCTCGGCCGACTACTGGTGCAGCCCGTCTTTAAATAATCCAGATAAAAATCACAACTGTACATCCACAAGGATACCTGTGCAAGGACTTGGGTGGTATGCAGCTAAGAACTGTGACCGAAATCACTGCTTAGAACCTTCTTCTTTTTTTTTGAAGTACAGCTAGATCATGGCGCTAACATGAAAAACTAGAGAGTTAAAATCTAGGCAGTGATGCCTATTTATAAAAGTTCACAAGAGTAGAATGCAGTTTACTAGGTAATTTTACAAAAACTCTTATGACTATATGCTAAAAAAATGTATTTTAAGAAAACAACCATTCTGAGAAATTTCAATCTGTTATGATGGCTTGATGAAAAATAAGGTAGACTTGAAAACATGAATGTGCATTCATTCAATTGTATTTGACAATGAACCAAGCTCTCTTAATCATGTTTATGAAATAAAATTGTAAGTGCTTTTAATTTTTTTTAAATAATCTTTTTTGTAAAAATTTTAATAATCGTTTTGTAAAAATTTTAATGAGTAGCTTTTTTAAAGCCTATAATTGAGTAATTCCACCAGAGGTTAACATGAAGTGTATAATTTTATTGTAACTTTTATTAGGTATAACTTTTTGTAGTTATAACTTTTTTTTAGGTATAACTTTTCTGTAACTTTTTCATAACTTTTTCATAGTTATAACTTTCTGTAACTTTTTCATAATCTTTAAAGGTATAACTTTTCATGGGTATAACTTTTTTTAGTTATAACTTTTTCATAACTTTTTATTAAGTATAACTTTTTTATAACTTTTTAAATAACTTTTTCCGGGTATAACTTTTTTGTAACTTTTTCCACCGTTTATTTGGGTATAACTAAAGTATAACTTTGTAACATTTTAATAACTTTTTGTGTAACTTTTAATAAGTATAACTTTTTGTAGTTATAACTTTTTTGTAACTTTTTGCACTTGCTGTATTTATGTTGAAATAAAAAATGAAAACTTATACAAAAGTTATAACTTTTTTGTAACTAAGTTATAACTAAATTATATCTCACTTAAAACAGGCGGTTCCAAACTCCGATAACTTAGTTATAACTTTTTTGTACCTTTTTTCAGTTACAAAAGTTATAACTAAGTTATAACTAAGTTATAATTTATTTCGGTATGGGGGGGCACAGCCATACATTTTCAGTTGAGGGGGCACTACCAAAAATTCCCTGACAAGCAAAAACAAAGGGGAAAAAAAAAAAAAAAGGTCATTAGATGTTTTTATTGAGGGGGCACAAGCATATAGTATCTATGTTTACTATAGTAATCTATATATCGGCAAAATTATTGGGGGGGGGGGGCATGGACCCCCGTGCCCCCCCCCCCCCCCCCCCCCCCCCCCCGGTTCCTACGGCCATGTTTATATTTCCTTGATTTTGATCCTATAACTACAAACTAGTTTATTTCTATATGTATGATATGACTAATTACATGTATAATAATGGTGTTTGCAAATACCCTGTACATTTACTAACTTCCTTGGACACAATAAAATTGTTAGTCATTAAATTATGAGCACCTTCTATCGAATTTATTAGATTTCACCTGGGTAATTACGCCAAATTCACAAATGAAGGATCTCTCATGGTGTTTTGGTTGGATATAAACTTTTATCCGATGAGTTGTGGTAAATAGTTTCTTTAGACAGGGACGCAGTATGGATTTTGAAAAGGGGGGCAGCCGGAGAAAAGATATCAACAAAAAAAAACAAACAAACAAAACACAAAAATTCTCCAAACCCGACAAAAATCCTATTCGGGGGGGGGGGGGGGGGGGGGGAATGTTAAAATCGAACCCTTCTTTGGCTATACTGCAACAAAAAGTGGGGGGAGGGGGGGCAACTGGCCTTTCAATGAACATTTTCAATAGTAAAAGTTATGTTTGGGAAAAAGTGGAGGTGCCAGGCCCCCTGCCCCCCACACAATTACCCTCCCCCTTTTCTATTTTGAAAAAGACTACTTATGTATGTTAATAATTGTGATATTGTAATGCTCTCTCCTTTAAAAGTACATAATTATATATTACTTACTGGATAGAATATTAGCCTTTTTCATATTTGGATATACAACTTTTTTTCCAAAAAGGGGGGTGGGTTGGGTGGTGGTTCCAAGCCCACTCAAAAGAGAATAGAAGAAAATTTAAGAAAATTGACAAGCAGAAAAGTAAAAGACATCTCTGTCTGAAAAACCCTTTTCTTTTGAACCCGGTGGGGGGTGGGGGGGGGGGGGGGGTGTCTCTTCTCTCTATATAAATTTAATAATTCAGAAAATCCAAAGGGGGAATCAGATATTCTCTCCAATCAAGATCTGATGGTTTGAATATTGCGTGTTAATTGTATTTTCTGATGCTAGAGTACCAATGCACTACCTTCAAAGGTCATACTGAAAATTTTCTAGATATCATTTAGGTCTAAGTTTACATGTAGGCTACAAAAATCCCAAAAGACTCTAGCTTGGAAAGCTTTCCAAGGCTTTTGAAATACTGATTGTAAAAGTTATTTCATTTAACAGAACACAACAAATTCGAGTTAAGTCGGTATATGTCAAGTGAACATGTAGACATTGTGTTTCACTTGCTGTTTGGATGTTTTTGATATTTTTTTAAGGTCTGTGCAGCCATAAGTTTGTAAATTTTCTCTTTCTCAATGGAAAAGAATTTATATTTCAAATAGCAGCTGGTGCATTATTTTCATTTTATAGCCGGTGCATACATACCAAGATTCTGATAGCAACCGTAACTTAAGAAGTTTGTGTTTTGTCCAAAAATCTCTTTCAAAATACACCTTTTATTTTTTTTTTTTTAATTATATCTACGTATTATTATAGATTAACACATCTTTACATACCAAAATGAACACAATCTAACCTATAAATGATGAAAAGAAGCATGAAAACTGGGATTATATTGACTTGAGAATGGGTACAAGCTTCAGAAATTTTACTTTATAATTTTTTAGAAGGTTGTTCTACAAAATACATCTGGCATCATTTAAACAAATTCCTTACTTGTTCCGTGCACAAGGATTTTTCTGAGACTTAATTGATTTGGGGTCACTTTCTGACAATTTTACCTCGTGTTCCAAGTTTCTGTGACATATTTATTTCAGCTAGCAGCCGTAAAATTTACGAATAGGAACAATGAACGCTTTTTTGTTCTGATAGCAACCGTTTAGGTACCATACCGTGGTGTTTGTGTTTGGTCTTCCTATAAGGTCATATAACCATATGTATACTCTAAAGGTACATAACTCTGTGTGTTTGTCTTTTGTCTTCCTATAAGGTCATATAACCATATGTATACTCTATAGGTACATAACTCTGTGTGTTTGTGTTTGGTCTTCCTATAAGCTCATATAACCATATGTATACTCTAAAGGTACATAACTGCGTGTTTGTCTTTTGTCTTCCTATAAGGTCATATAACCATATGTATACTCTATAGGTACATAACTCTGTGTGTTTGTGTTTGGTCTTCTCAAAAGCTCATATAACCATATATATACTCTAAAGGTACATAACTCTGTGTGTGTGTGTGTGTTTGGTCTTCCTATAAGCTCATATAACCATATGTATACTCTAAAGGTACATAACTCTGTGTGTTTGTGTTTGGTCTTCCCATAAGCTCATATACATATGTATACTCTATAGGTACATAACTCTGTGTGTTTGTGTTTGGTCTTCTCAAAAGCTCATATAACCATATGTATACTCTAAAGGTACATAACTCTGTGTGTTTGTCTTTTTTCTTCCTATAAAGTCATATAACCATATGTATACTCTATAGGTACGTAACTCTGTGTGTTTGTGTTTGGTCTTCCCATAAGCTCATATAACCATATGTATACTCTATAGGTACATAACTCTGTGTGTTTGTATTTGGTCTTCCCATAAGCTCATATAACCATATGTATACTCTAAAGGTACATAACTCTGTGTGTTTGTGTTTGGTCTTCCCATAAGCTCATATACATATGTATACTCTAAAGGTACATAACTCTGTGTGTTTGTGTTTGGTCTTCCTACAAGCTCATATAACCATATGTATACTCTAAAGGTACATAACTCTGTGTGTGTGTGTGTGTGTTTGGTCTTCCCATAAGCTCATATAACCATATGTATACTCTAAAGGTACATAACTCTGTGTGTTTGTGTTTGGTCTTCCTATAAGCTCATATAACCATATGTATACTCTATAGGTACATAACTCTGTGTGTTTGTGTTTGGTCTTCCTATAAGCTCATATAACCATATGTATACTCTGAAGGTACATAACTGCATGTTTGTCTTTTGTCTTCCTATAAGGTCATATAACCATATGTATACTCTATAGGTACATAACTCTGTGTGTTTGTGTTTGGTCTTCTCAAAAGCTCATATAACCATATGTATACTCTAAAGGTACATAACTCTGTGTGTGTGTGTGTGTTTGGTCTTCCCATAAGCTCATATAACCATATGTATACTCTAAAGGTACATAACTCTGTGTGTTTGTGTTTGGTCTTCCTATAAGCTCATATAACCATATGTATACTCTATAGGTACATAACTCTGTGTGTTTGTGTTTGGTCTTCCTATAAGCTCATATAACCATATGTATACTCTAAAGGTACATAACTCTGTGTGTTTGTGTTTGGTCTTCCTATAAGCTCATATAACCATATGTATACTTTATAGGTACATAACTCTGTGTGTTTGTGTTTGGTCTTCCTATAAGCTCATATAACCATATGTATACTCTAAAGGTTCATAACTCTGTGTGTGTGTGTGTGTGTGTTTGGTCTTCCTATAAGCTCATATAACCATTTGTATACTCTAAAGGTACATAACTCTGTGTGTTTGTGTTTGGTCTTCCCATAAGCTCATATACATATGTATACTCTATAGGTACATAACTCTGTGTGTTTGTGTTTGGTCTTCCTATAAGCTCATATAACCATATGTATACTCTAAAGGTTCATAACTCTGTGTGTGTGTGTGTTTTTGGTCTTCCTATAAGCTCATATAACCATTTGTATACTCTAAAGGTACATAACTCTGTGTGTTTTATGTTTGGTCTTCCCATAAGCTCATATACATATGTATACTCTATAGGTACATAACTCTGTGTGTTTGTGTTTGGTCTTCCTATAAGCTCATATAACCATATGTATACTCTAAAGGTTCATAACTCTGTGTGTGTGTGTGTTTTTGGTCTTCCTATAAGCTCATATAACCATTTGTATACTCTAAAGGTACATAACTCTGTGTGTTTGTGTTTGGTCTTCCCATAAGCTCATATACATATGTATACTCTATAGGTACATAACTCTGTGTGTTTGTGTTTGGTCTTCCCAAAAGCTCATATAACCATATGTATACTCTAAAGGTACATAACTCTGTGTGTTTGTCTTTTTTCTTCCTATAAAGTCATATAACCATATGTATACTCTATAGGTACATAACTCTGTGTGTTTGTGTTTGGTCTTCCCATAAGCTCATATACATATGTATACTCTAAAGGTACATAACTCTGTGTGTTTGTGTTTGGTCTTCCCAAAAGCTCATATAACCATATGTATACTCTAAAGGTACATAACTCTGTGTGTGTGTGTGTTTGGTCTTCCCATAAGCTCATATAACCATATGTATACTCTAAAGGTTCATAACTCTGTGTGTTTGTGTTTGGTCTTCCTATAAGCTCATATAACCATATGTATACTCTATAGGTACATAACTCTGTGTGTTTGTGTTTGGTCTTCCTATAAGCTCATATAAGCATATGTATACTCTAAAGGTACGTAGAATTTTAGCAGAAGTTTCCTCTTTACCTGATGAATGCAATCTTGGATTAGTATACATGTACCTGATTTTTAAAAACAACCAGCATTAATTTTAATCATGTATTAACATGTACAGGATTTAGTGGAAAGAAGCAGTATGAAAGATGCTAAAATATGATAATCCTTAAAATAAGTATGTTTACAGAAATCATGACAATCTATATGTAAAAGTATGTGTAAAAGTGATTAAAATACTGTTATAGGGAAATTTTTGTCCCTGTTTTATTTTTGTTTACTTAGTGTAGATTCAGTTTTGTTCAAATCATACCCCCCCCCCCCCCCCCAATTGTGACTGGGCGAATTTAAAACGGGGCGAAATTGTTTGCAAGTATGAAAGGGCGAAAATAACCCTGTATACAGTATACCTATACTGATACCGGTACAATTTAATCCTTCTATCTAATAATAACAATTTTACTTCATGTTTGATGACAAATTTCTATGTAATGTACAAGTATATCTGTAACTCAGTTCGCTGAGTTTGTTTAATACTTCTGTAAAAATTTATATTTTAGGCATATGTGCATGATCTTTATTTCAAATGATAGTTCACTGCTATGTGCCTTTTATTCATGTGTTGTTATTTCTTGTCCTAACTTATTCCAGGAAAGCCACCCAGAAAGTGGGGAGCTGGCTTAATGAGTGTGCTGCCTAAAGCTCAGGAATATATTAAGTCAGAGAAGTTCTTTGTGGAAGACAACTTAGAAGCTTGGTAAGAAACAAACGTGATCCTTACGAGAATGAGTGTACTTGATAAACCTATGTTTGTGTACCCTTCTTAGAGAAATCAATGGAATAATACCCAGGCAAAATAGGAGATTCCTCTCAAAAATTGCAATACAAGTACAGTTTATATACTATCAACACGAAACACCAACACCAAGATTTAAGTGTTTGTATTTTACAGGAATTATTTTGAGGAACATTGGAAAAAATACCTTGAAGAGAAAGGCCTCTTAGAAGGAAGCCAGGACCCAAAACCTGACAATCTGGACGAAGATGGCCGAGACAAGTTTTACAAAAGTCTGAGTTTCTCGGGCTGGGGCGGAGCCAGCGGTCATGATGCTCCTATGATTGCGTAGTTATTTTCATTCTTATATTCATTTTGCAAAAAAGTTTTCTTACGATTAAAAAATAATTGAAAAATTCTGTACAACAGGAAGAAAATTCCTACCCATCCTTCCCTTCTTAAGCTCAACTGGTCAAAGACCAGCAGCTTTTTTCAGAAAAATTAATATGATTCTGTGTTAAGATTTTAATTTAAGTATTTCGTATGACAAATGTTAAGTGCTTTTCACAAATGCATTCATAACAGATTGAACAAGTTTAAGATTTCACTTATGAGAAACTTCTTACTTAGCAATAATCTCAATATATATACTTTATAATCCTTTAAAAAATGGCCAAGAGTGAAAAATTAAGTTGATGTCTACAACCCAAAATGGAGACCCCATAAATTGCCATGTATAAGAGTGCAAGTTTTCAAACTTTTCCTGTTAATATTTTTTTCACTTTTTGCGACAGATATGATGCTATTCTGCAATCAGGAAAAAACTGGGAAGAACTATGCAAAAGGTAACATAACATAAGAAAATTTCAGTAATAATTTTGAACTCTTCTGCATTGGATAATAAATCAGTTCCTTTGCAACATGCCCCTCACAAGTGATTGAATTAAAAATAACTTAAGCCATCAATGAAAGTATCACCGAAATGCAAGTTGAATTATTTAATGCCATTAATTTTTATCTTGCAAACTCCTTTTTGTTGAGTATTTCATGGTAACCAGAGCTGGAAGCTAATTAAGTTTTCTGATCAGAGCCTAATGAATGTCTCTTCAATGCTGTGTTTCAAATTTTTCAACTTTTTCTCAAATTTAGCAAAAGGATCATTTAAATTTTTCCATGTGCATAATTAACCCACAATGAGAATCTAATAATTATATCAGTGCTAGCGCATTTTACATATGCTTGTACATGTATACATATACTGGTACACGTATATCCAGATCATAAAATTACCATATGTCACTAGAATACATTTTCAATGTCAGACATGCATTTTCATTCATTTAGTATTCTAATGGTTCAGTTTGCCCATTTCATGATGAAATACAGAAGTATTTTCGTTTTTAAAAGCATTATGACTTCTGTAGAAATTTTGGTTGAGAATGATGGGCCAGTGGATGTTTTATTTTTATTATGCCCCGGGATCGAAAGATCGAGGGGGTATATTGTTTTTGTCCTGTCTGTCTGTTTGTCTGTTTGTCCGTTTGTCTGTCTGTCTGTTGTCAACTTTATCCTTGCCCATAACTTTTGATTGGATGGAGCTATGACTTTCATATTTCACATGTGTATTCCTTGTGACAAGACCTTTCTTTGGGTACCATCATATTTGACCTTTTGACCTTGACCTTGGAGTTTGACCCACTTTTGCAAAATTCTATGAGACTTTAACCTTGGCCATAACTTCTGAACAGTTGGTGCTTGGGGTTTCAAACTTCACATGTGCTTCTTTGTGACAAGGCCTTCCTTTGGATATCAATTGCAACAACTTTGACTTTTTGACCTTGACCTTGGAGTTTGACCTACTTTTAACCTTGGTCATAACTTTTGAACAGTTGGTGCTTTGGGTTTCAAACTTCACATGTGTATTCCTTGTGACAAGACCTTCCTCTGGATATCAACCTCTTTGACCTTTTGACCTTGACCTAGGAGTTTGATCTACTTTAGAAAAACTTTAACCTTGGCCATAACTTTTGAATGGTTGGAGCTAGGGCTTTTATACTTCACATATGTAATCCTTGTGACAAGACCTTTTTTGGGATACCAACCACTTTGACCTTTTGACCTTGACCCAGGAGTTTGACCTACTTTTGAAAAACTTTAACCTTGGCCATAACTTTTGAATGGTTGATGCTAGGGCTTTCATACTTCTCATATGTATTCCTTGTGACATCACCTTTCTTTGGATACCAACCACTTTGATCCTTTGACCTTGACCTAGGAGTTTGACCTACTTTTGCAAAACTTTAACATTGGCCATAACTTTTGAATGTTGGTGCTAGGGCTTTCATACTTCACATATGTAATCCTTGTGACAAGACCTTCCTTTGGATATCAACCACTTTGACCTTGACTTTGACGTTTTACTTACTTTTAAAAAACTTTAAGTTTCGCCATAACTTTTGAACAGTTGCAGCTAGGTCTTTCAAATTTCACAGGTACCGGTATATTCCTCGAGACAAGACCTTTCTTTGGATACCAACATGTTTTATCATTTGGCCTGGATTTTGACTTGCATTTGAGAAACTTTCGCCATAAGCTGCCATATGGGGGCATCAGTGTTTCACAAACACATCTTGTTATAGATCAATGTTACATGATGGGCCAGTGGATGTGTTATTTTTATTTTAGATCAATGTTTCATGGAGGAGACAGTGATAGTACTGGGGTCATTGCAGCCTGCTGTTATGGGGCCATGTATGGGTATGATGGGGTACCAGAGGGGAATTACAAGGTAACTTCTATTCCTTTTTTTCATGTCCACAAATACTTTTAAACTAGGGATGTCAACAAGTACCCAGTTAACTGGGTACTCGATCGAACGTCCGAGTATCAAATACTAAAATCACTACTTGGTTACTCGGATATTTTTTTTTTTTCATATTTCAAAGAACAAAGTTTTTTTTTTTTTATCAAAACCTTATCAAAAAATGCAACTTAAAAATGAATTGTCCATGTTTACCTTGTAATAAGCGTCACCCACACCTTTTAATACCCTTTTTGCCCGTAGCTGTGTACTTGTTTATACAGTAATTACCGTGACCAATCACAGTACACAGCTGTTATCACCTCTTGTGGCCCGTTATTTTTAGCTCTTCTGGTCGGAGACCAGAAGAGCTTATCCGTTAGTAAGGTGTCCGTCGTCCATCTGTCTGTCTGTCTGTCCGTCTGTAAACAATTTTTCAAAATGCTTCTCCTCCTACAGATTTGATCTGATTTCAGTATAACTTGGCACACAAGCAGACGACACTAAGATACATAATTCTCTATATTGGTTTTTGATTTTGATGAATGGTGTTGCCATGGCTACTAAAAATAGAAAGGATGACTGCACTTAAGGACATGCCAAAATTGCAACAAAATAAACTCTCAAAACAAGCATTTTTCTTTTAATTGCAGAAACGGTCAACATCTTATCTACAACTTTACGTAATTATATTAAATAAAAGTATGTATTTACGAAGTACGAAGCTGTTTTCAAAGGCAGGGGTCATCATAATTTCTTGAATCTCCATACAATAATGAGGACGCCCACTTTTTCACTGACTTTATACATAGTTAGCGCATGTTTGTCTATTGTTCTCCGTTTAACAGTAGTTGTATATTTGCATTAATAATGTTGTGTCAAAAGGAGATTAATCGACAAACATGCGCTCATGGTTTAAAAGAGAAAAAAAACTGCTTATTCTTACGTTCGCCCTCTCTGTAGTAACCAAGGGCTATGGCATGTTGAATATTATAATCACATGATTTCTTTCCTCAGGTAACTATGTGAATACTAAATTCCATCACGTGACTTGTAAGGTAGCATGATTTGTGCTAACTAGGACAGTGCTCGAACACATTGAATTGTCAGGCATCGATTCAAAGTATCCTTTCCTTATATGGATGTGCTGATGTTGTTAATTTCGTTTTGAAACCTTTGTTAATAGTGTTGTGCCATACAGAATAAAGGGGGAGATGGGAAAGAGTAATCTCGTACTTTTATACATGTTATTGTTATTTATCTAGTCTAATTTAAGAGCCATTCTTACAATGTTAGCTCCACCTCTCATGCATACCTAATGTTTAATCAAGGGCAGATAATTGTAAATTCTCTATATTTGGAAAACAGTAAGGACAAAAACAGAGAATTATTTTATTGTATCACAGTCTAAAATCATTTTAACATTTAAATTTTGGTGCCAAATTAACAGAATTCTTTAGTAAATATACAGAAGTGAAATAAGGTTAAGATATAAAAGCAACAGAAGCGACCAAAAAAGACCCAAAACCCAGCGTTAAGTGCAGTTATCCTTTCCTTGAAATACTTTCAAAATGTTACTCCTCCTACAGTTTTGATCTCATTTCAGTATAACTTGGCACACAAGTAGACTACACTAAGATACATAATTTTGGATTTTGTTTAATGATGTTGCCATGGTTACTAAAATTGAAATTTCTGTAAAATTCTATTGAAAGGTTACTCCTCCTACAGTTTTAGTCTGATTGCAATAAATCTTGACACAAAAAGAGACTTAACCAAGGATCATTATTCTATTTATTGCTGTTGCAAAGTTTCAAATCCAAGTGCTACTATTATCTGCCTTTGTTATAAGTACAAAAAAGGAGAGCTACAGTCTCGTCAGAGACTTCTGGTTTTTGATGGCTTTAATGATTAGTATTTAATGAACATCATTTAATTAGGGCTTATTATCGTTTAATTAGGATTAATTCTGAAAACAATTTAGTTCGCATACGGTAGCAAAATCGGACATACAAAGAAATGCCGCTACCCACTTCAAAAGTGAAAAAAAAACATTAGGATAGAACTAAAGATTTTAAAAATGTTTAAGATTAGCTATGCAAAGTAAACAAAGCGTATATGTGGAAAACAACCAACATACATGTATTAATTAAATAATACATGTATATGTCTAGCAATCTTGATAGCCTCTCCTTCTTTAAAAATGGAAAACAACCAACATACATGTATTAATTAAATAATACATGTATATGTCTAGCAATCTTGATAGCCTCTCCTTCTTTAAAAATTATTTCTTGCGTTTCTCTAATCATTGCAAATCTGCGTTACAGATTGTCCTCCTCTTGCGTTGATCAAATCGTCTTCCTAAACAAGAACTATATACCATTTATAATTATTGATGTATTAATTGTTGTCTCATGTGCTTATTTGATAGATAAATTTAGTGCAAAAAACCATTTTCGTTTTGCTCAATGTTTGTGTACTGGCATAGAAAACGTTAAAAAAAATATATATCGATGGGGTACAACAGGGCTTAACTGGTCTCAATTAAATTAACACATTTGTATTTTACATTTTTACCAAGTACCCGTGTACTCGATTTGAAAATCATCCGAGTAACCGATTATCAAATATTGACTGATTTGACATCCCTATTTTTAAACAAAACAAAAAAAAAAATCCTGTGATTTATGTTGATTTACATTATTTTAATTCCACTTTTCCAGAAGCTCGAGTATCATAAAAGACTAGTGAAGCAGGCCAGAGAGTTATACGAAATTGCTCACGGATCTGGAGGGGAAAATGCCATGATAGATGAGGATGACGATATGATAAAAGAGGAAGAGGAAGAGGTCAGGCTAAATACCCAGTCATCATACGCATTTGTTCTAATATAGAAAAAAACTCAGGGAAAGTTGTTGATACCTTTAATAAAAACAACACCTTTTTTATGTGAAAGCATTGAAAGAATATCTTCTAATAACAATTTTCTGTATACATGTATATAAAAAATTAAAAATTATTCAAATAAAAAAAAGGTACCATGTTCATATTAATATTATTCCATGTCATATACAAGTAGAATATGTTTTATAAACAAAACTTTGTTTTACGTGAAAGGCAGAAGAAAAGGAAGGAAAAGAGCAGGAGGTGGCCGAGAAAGAGAGTGCTCAAGGGGAGAAAACTCTGGAGTCGGAGAATGTACAGGAGAAAGTACAGACAACTGTATGATTGTCTGTTTAGTTTATATGTTCTGACTTTCAACATTATAAGTGTAATATGACATTGAATTATAAGATAGATTAAAGTTTTCTTATTTTTGCGTTTATTATAAAGTAATATTCCCCAAAGAATCATGCAATATCTCTCCATTTATGTGTCAGTCTTTGGGCTCCTGACATTTTTTACTATGTTATAATGTGACCAAGTAATTCCATATGTTTTATTTATTTAGGCGAGTATCGTGTTCATTTTGGTAAACTTATTTTTTATTCAATTATTTGAATCAAGTGAGTGGGATTCTAACATTTTGTAAAGGCTTTTGTCGAACAAACTTTTTGTAATCTTATTCCTGACTGGTGTATTCTTTAAATCAACTCAATCCACTTGCGCAGTAGATCTGGGTATAAATAAACAGGTTCGATTAGAATTACTTGTCCCGCCAGCCAGTTTCAAGGTCACAACACCTCATGGTCGTGCTGTTCATATAGGTATTTGCTTCTGTAATACTTTTCTTTTTCATAACTTATAATGTTATTTTTCATTTTCTATCTATTTGACATTATATTTTGTCTAATGGGTAGAATAATTTATGCATATTTTTTTTTCTAGACACTAATGCCATTGCCGTTTGTTAGCTGTTAAATAAAGATATAAATGTGAACTTGGTGTTGTTCTTCTGCTCAGTTACAATAAATTTTTTAGAGTTGCACACTTACTTTTATAACTGTGATAATATATAAAAAAATTACAAATATCTGAAATTTTGATTATAAATCTAGTTTCAAGTCTTTGTTTATATAGCAAAATCTTTAATCTTTATACCATTAATTTCAAAAGAACTGATATAGTTCAGTCCATATATACAACTGCCATCATGAGAAAAGGGCCCTTATCTTTTCACATCAGAATGTGCAGAAAATGATGTCAAAGGTGCAGTATCATAAACACGGAAGTGATTTTTGTTGACTACGTTTTGTGTACACTGTAGAGAGATTGAAGTAAATTGGATTGCCAGGCGTTAAAAAAATATCAAATTACATGAAATTCGAAGCAGAAAGATTTAATAAATAACATTTTTACTATTTAGTACAAATATTTATTCAAGTCAGTCTGACTAAGCCAGCCCCTACTATTTCACTTCGTTATGAACGAAGTGAAATAGTAGGGGCTGGCTGTAGTCAGACTGATAGTAGGGGCTGGCTTTAGTCAGACTGTATTCAAGTTTCTGCGTAATTATTTAATATTTCATAATCCCAACATTACATTGAACACATTGTCAGGTAGAGCGATTAATGGCAATGTCTATAAAGTATGCAAAGTTACAGATATATTTGTTTTCTGAGCAATTTGTAATGTTCATATTTGACTTACACATAAATATATTAATAAGTCTTAATACTGTAACGTGTACCCCTGCGTAGGGTTCTCAGGGGATGAATTTTTTCTCTTACTCTACCTGAGTTTATGATCTAATAATTTGACTATGTACAGTATAATAATTTTTCTTTAAACCTATCTGGGTTTTTCTATTATATTAATTAATCAAAGAATATATAATGTGGGATGAATTCTGATGACTTGGTAACTGTTAGACTTAGCACCGTGTACCTTGCCCCAGGTTCCTATTGATAGCGGATACTAAGAGTTTCGTTCTTATTCAGATCTACAGCCCCCAGTATCTCGCCCCAATTCCCAGAGATTCTTGCCACTGGTGCAAACCTATTTCTTTTATTTTACCCTTTCTCTTATCCGTTTTCCCCTGCTTCCACTTAACTGCAGCTCTGCATTCCCCAAAAGACCCTGAATCTCTCTATACAGTCTTATATATACCCTTTGGACTAGTCTACTTTAAGCTTAAGGGAGGACAGGTTATTCCATTCTAACCTTACATCTGGGTCTTCTTTGCGTTTTCGGTTTCCAATAACCATTACAATACTAAAGGGTAGTCAATATACATTTATATTTTTTCAGAAAGAGAGAGAGAGAGAGAGAGCACTCAGTGCATATATATGGGTTGTTTAAAAGTGCTTCTTTACTTTGGGAAAAAAACTTGTAAAAATATAGTGACTTTTTAATTTTAATCCATAGTGGTTCATCAATTCGAAAAGCACAGTTAGACCAGTTCAGGCTTGTGATGTCTTTTCCAAAAGTGGGAGGAGGATGGGGGAGGGGGTTATAGTTGACAAACAAAAAAAAGTCTCCAAATCAAAAGGACGTCTGTTGAAAGTTCGAACTAAAAAATAAAAAGAGAACCCCTCTTTGTGTTATCAACAAAATCTGACATACTTATACCCCTTTCTAGCCTCAAAATTTCATTCGATTATATAAAATACTACTTAAAATATTAAGAAAAACTCAACTGAACGTTCAGTTTTTGTCTACCACCGCATGGCAAGAATGTTACCGATGTGATGACGTTACTTTTGAGCACTTATTTTCAATTCATCTGAATATCTTTTTAACCTCTCTGAATTGCACTTCGCGCTAGCGCGTTGTTCCCAACGCACTGTTACACTTTTGCAAATGGCCCTATTGGAACACCACAATAAGCCGATTACCTTTTTAAAAAAAATTCAAAAATCAAAATTAAGACTTCGAGTCTGTAGAAAAATATTGATAATCATGAAGATGGCTAGTGTTTACAATACTTGCACTGATTACGCTTTTTGATTTATTCTGCAGTGTTCAGTTACTAAAAGTCTTAAGTAATGAAAATACGCGGTGTTACTTCTACCATGTTGCGACTGCCATCAATACTAAAGTCTTGATGATTCTGTCACTTTTTGGTGTGCAATGCTTGACAATTTTGGTCATTGAATCAATTAAACTAAAATGTGCTGTACAATTTCAGTGCAAGTAACAACAACTTGATTAATTTAAGGTAGTACAAAACACCCATGAAATCTGTTTTAACTCATTTCTTATAAGTACACTAGTAAAAAGAAAAATATCACTATAATGTCAATTGTCAGTGATTTTTGTAAGAAAATTAATTAGCTGTTATATGTTTTCGCCATATTTTGTAAGAAAAAATTAGAAAATCCTATATTTTGGTCATTCGAGAGGCTACATTTTAGAATGTGTTCTCTATGCGATATCACAGTCTGTCATTAAATGCAAAGTAACTTTGGTTCGATTTATAGTAGAGACCTGATACTGGTATTTGGACATATTTATAAGGAGTCTTCATTCTTTATACACAATAAAGGTCAAAGCCATATATAGAGATCAAAGGTCAAATATTGTGACGTCATCTACTGATTCTTTTAATTTTTTACAGTGAATATTTTTTTAAATCACCAAAATATCTGAAACTGCCGGTTCAATGCTCCTCATTTTGACATATTTTAACCTGAGTTCCATTTAAATAATTATATTATTTTTTGGTGAAAATTGAACCATGCATTTTCTCTTAAGAAAACTTAAAGTGTAGCCTACTTACATGTGAATTTTCAATTCCTGGGCTATGTAGGTTCTATTTTTTCATCACATTTTAGTGAAATGTACCGGTATCAATATAATTTACTAAAATTTAGTAACAGAAAGGTCGTATTTATAAAAAGCATTACCCAAATTTGTATTAGATCGACCGGTAATTAAAAGAAATGCATATTCTAAAGTGCAATATCTGATTTCACAATCTTCTTACAGGGGTCTGATAGGCCACATTTCAAACTATGTGGACAAAAAATATGCGGTTGAATTTCTTTTAAATTACATATAAAGAGCGATTTTGTATCCTAGAACAAGATTTCAAAGTTTCAAAAAAATTTAATTTGAGGGAAAATTTGGCCTATCTATTGTGTACTACCTTAATCAAGTAAGAGAGCCTTGAAATTTTCAAGACTCGAAGCTGAGGTAGTGTCAATGGGCAGAGCATTCCAATCCCAGATTGTCCTCGGGTAGAAAGACTCCTTCCGCATTGGTGTTACAGGGTGGTATCTGGAATGAGTTACATTGCATGATTCTCCTGTATCTTGCTGGTTTTAAGAGTCCCTCTAAAGCATCAATTTTTACCAGCCCATTTGATATTTTGTAGATTAACGCTAGTCTTGCGTTTTTTCGTCTTTCTTCCAGTGATGTCCAATTAAGGTCTTCTGGCATGTTGGTAACAGAGGAGGTGTTAAGGTACCTGTTTGTAACATACCTGGCCACTCTTCGTTGAATCATCTCTATCCGGTTTTTGTCCTCTTTTTGTGTATGGGTCCCAGGTTGTACAAGCATATTGCAGTGCCTTGCATGAATTATCCTTTAGGGAAGCATTCCTGATGTTAAAGGGTTTTTAAATGCTGCAATGCTGAAATCTTGTATGCAGACACACTCAATTCAAATCGAAAATTTCTAAATACACTTGATACACTTACATAGTCCCAATCCATTTCCCTAAACTCAGATCTAACTGACTTTCTAAAAGTTTTCTCAATGATTGACTTCAATTTGACAATGTTCTCATTTTTTTTTGGGGGGGGGGGGGGTAACTGTCTTTCATCTTTACATTATGTTTTGTTCAAACTTCTTAATACCTTAATAAATGAAAAGTAGACAGGGTTTCTGGTCTGGATATTTTTCTTCATCATGCCCTGTAGAATATTTAGGATATCGTGCTTATAATAAAAGTTCACAAATTCAAATTTTTTTTGCTAGTTGTACTCCATTTTGAGAACAGCTGAAATTATGACATCACTGATTACATCATCAGTGTACTTCATGGTATTATAATTTCCCCAATATTTTGCAATAACATAATTTTAGATTAATATGATTGTCTATGGTATTTTGGTATTTTTGGTATCATACTTGATATTCAGGTTATGCCATTTAGATGTGTGACATATATAATGAAACTCCCTGTATCTAAATTTCTTTTAAATGAAACACTTTTACATTCTTGAAACATATAATTATCGTTGAATTATGAAATAGTTTTGAAAATGGTCGTAATTAGACGATAAAAGGTCCGTAATATAGGGTCCTCGAAGTAAAAATCTCAACTAATTAGATAGGGGTCACGTGGTACTGAATAGGTGTCAATGGTCTATTAGAACTCGTAAAGCTCGTATAAAAAAATATATATCAAATAGATATTGACGTTAAATAAATAAATTACGCAATATGGTCGGTGGAAATTTCGACATCATGATATTCTTTTGGTTATGGACGGTCAATCTTTTATGTATGATAGTCTTGCAGAGAGAAATAACCAGAAAATATAAAGAAGTCACCGTTTCAAGAAGCTCAGTGTGTTATTGGCTTTCTTACATATGTTGTATATGTGCTGGTTCCACTTCATAATAGATGTTATAGTAATACCTAAATACTTAAAAGTTATTACATGCTCAAGTACATGTCCATATAGGATGTAACTGTTCGATTGGTGTTTTCTTTCTTGAAATGGATATAACAGTGCATTTCTCTGGGTGAAGGTTCATTTTCCAGGTTTGCTCCCATTCAGCTAGTTTATTCAGATCGTCTTGTAGATGCATTCGGTCTATATCTGATGTTAAGGTGAGACATACAATGGTGTCGTCTGCAAATAGTCTTCTTGTTGATTTTATATTTTCTAGCATGTCATTGATGTAACACAGAAACAAGGTAGGACCTAGGACTGATCCCTGAGGTACCCCTGATTCGACTTCAATAAATTGAGATTTTGCCCCTTCCACCACTATGGCCTGATTTCAGTCATGAAGGAGACTTTCTATCCATTTATTGGTCTTGCCCCTTATACCATAATGATGTAATTCATGGATCAATAGACTGTGGCAGACTTTGTCAGAAGCTTTGCTGAAGTCCATGATCAGACAATCGGTTTGTTTTCCAGCGTACATCATCTATAAATTCTACCAATTGGGTGTCACATGATAGACCTTTCCGGAAGCCATGTTGTAGTGTGTATAGTATGTTATGATGATCAGCATGGTCCATGATGTTGCTAATTATAATATGTTCCATTGTTTTGCATGCAATACAGGTGAGTGATATTTGGCGGTAGTTCATCGTTTCATATTTTTTGCCTTTCTTAAAGATTGGGCAGACAATTGTTGTTCTCCAAATGCTTGGTATTCCTCTGGTGTTGTATGACTCTTGGTATATCAAAGTAAATATTGGTGATATGTGCAAAGCCAGCTCCTTCATGACTCGTTGTGTTATATTATCTGGTCCGGCAGCTTTATGAGGCTTGAGATTACTGAGTAACTTTGTAACTCCGTTTTTTGTGATCTGACTATCTGGCATTGTTGCAAAGTCTCCCCTCATCTTGCAGGTGTTCTTGAAGGACTTTTCTGATACTTCTGTTTTTGTTGAAAAGGCTTTTTGAAACTGTTTGTTTAGAATATTGGCTTTTCTTTAGATTCTGGATGGAGTATTCCGTCTGACTTCCGTGGTGGTATGCTGTTGTTATCTGATCTTATAAGCTTTATGCAAATCCAAAAGCATTTCAAAGATTGACCCCTCCTAGTTTTGTTATCTACTTCAGGCGTAAGATTCTTCAAGTAGGCATTTCTCAGTTGGCGCTCTGTTTCCTGCTTTAAACATTTGTATCTTAGTGCATTTCCTTGTTACCAGACTTTTTTTGCGTCTATATAAACAGTCTCTTTTACGTAAGAGTCTTTTGAAATCTCTGTTCAGCCAAGGACAACCATCTTTACTTTTAGCTATTTTATGCGGTATGTTGTTTTCTATACTTTCCTCTGGTTTTCCCAGAATTTCCACATGCTGTTTACTGTTTCGCCATTACTTTTCATGGTGACAATGTCCTTGTAGATTGTTTTGACTTCATTTGTAAAATTTTCCCATTTTGCCTTGTTGTATAGGGGAATCTGACGGGGTTTTTGTTGTCGTCTAGTTGGTACGATGTCTATTTCGGAGTACACAATGTCATGATCTGATATCCCAGGTATAATCTCTGTCCTGCGGAAGCTTTTCGGATGGTTAGTCACAATTATGTCCAGTTTGTTGTTTCCTCTGGTAGGTTCTTCTACTAATTGCGTTTATCCAGAGTCGTCTAAGATATCTGTAAATATATGGTGATTTTTGGAATACTCAGTATTTTACTTCAGTGTATTTCTTTTCCAGTCCCATCCTGGGAGATTGAAATCTCCAGCTGCTACTGTAAATGAATTTCTTATTCTAGAATCTCTCAATGCCTCGGTTAATTTATATTTGAACATTTTCAATGATGCCATGCTGAACAGTTCTGTCATATCATATAAGCTTGAATATTATAAAATATGGCGAAATAAAACAATATGGTCAACCCATGCTGATGCAGTCACACTCCAAAGAGAAGGCAAGTAAAATTTCCTGTGTTTAAAAAGGGTCAGCATAAAATTGTCTATCCATTTTTTTATCGTGTAAATTACATGTGAATGTCTTGTTTCATTAATTACTTCTTTTAAAACTTAAATAAATTAAATAAATCAAGGTATAAAAGCTCACATTTGATACCAGTATGTACATGCTTTGAGAGGGTTTTATGAGAAGTGATTCACTTTTCCGGACGATTAATTTGTCCGGGCGATTTCATTCGGACGGAGACGTCCGGATTAATGAGACACCACTGTAAATTTTTACGGGTAGCTGAATTCATGATTTGATTTTATGAAAAGTAAAGACATTTTTTAACAATCGAATGAAACTACAAACCCATTGTAAGAAATGTAATATATCTGTCTGATATGTCTAATAATGGTTTTGCTTTTCATGAGAAGATTTTTTATTGCCCATTGTGGCCCCAGCCTACCCCCAGGGGGGTCATGATATGAAAAAAAAAGAACCCTGGTGATGATTCTGTATAAATATGACTAAATATGGCTTTGCTGTTCTCGAGAAGAAGATTTTAAATAAAGATATTTCTTATATACTCTTATGAATAACTTTGATTCCCTGTTGTGACCCCGCCCTACCCGTAGGAGCCATTTTTTTAAAAAACAAATTTGAATCTAAACTATCTGAAGATGCTTCTGTATATATATGACTTATTATGATATTGCTATTCTTGAAAAAAATTTTCAAAAGATTTTCCCGAAACATTCCTATGTAAAACTTAGATCCCCGGTTGTGACCCAGCCCTATTCCTTGGGTCATGATTTAAACAACTTTGAATCTACAGTATGTAATGAATCTTTCACATAAGTTTCGTCTTTTCTGGCCCATTGATTCTTGACAAGAAGATTTTTTAAAGAAATGACACCCAAATTTTAATGAATTCGTAATTAGCTCCCCCTGAAAGAGGGCGTGGCACGTCCTGTGATCAAATTTAAATCCCCTTCACCTAAGGATACTTTGTGGCGAGTTTGGTTGAAATTGGCAAAGTAGTTCCGGAGAAGCTGGAAATGTTAAAAGTTTACAGACAATACCTGACACACAGCAGACGACACTACGGACAGATACACGATATATTTTCGATCAGAAAAGCTCACTTGAGCCTTCAGATCAGGTGAGCTAAAAAAATTCTATTAAGTATTTTCATAATTTTTATGAATATGTCCGGGGCATGTAGTGTTTGTCATGTCCGTCTTTTGTCCTTCCGTCTTTCTGTCCTCCCATCTGTTCTTCTGTTACACTTTGCTTTGAGCTCAGTTTCAAAGAAACTATTCAAGATATTTTCATCGATACATACTGATGAGAGTCAAACGCATCACCATTTTTTTTTTACCATGATATTTCCTTTCAACTTAACATTACTTTTCTTGAATTATTGTTTAGCTCAGTTTCAAAGAAACTATTTAAGATATTTTTATCAAATCTTATATGCTAATACATACTGATAAGAACTATTCAATTTCCTCAACATTTTTTGACCTTGACCTTTCCTTTAACTTCACTTTCCATAAATTTGTGTTTAGCTAAGTTTCAAAGAAATTGTTCAGGATATTTTAATGAAACTTTATATGCTGGTACATATTCATGAGATCAATTCAACTACATCAACATTTTTGACCTTGACTTTTCTTTGACCTTGACCTTACTCTTTTAAATTAGTGATTATCCCAAAATTCAAGAAACTAAACATATTTTTATCGAACCTTATATGCTTAAAACATATTTTTATCGAACCTTACATGCTTATATACATTGATGAGAGCTGTTCAACTGCATCAACATTTTTTTACCTTGACCTTTCCTGTGACCTTGACTTCACTTTTATTAAAGAAGTGTTAAGCTCAGTTTCAAAGAAACAATTTAATATATTTAAATCAAATCTAATATGCTGATACATATTGGTGAGAGCTATTCGACTGCATCAACATTTTCACTTTGACTTTTCCTTGGACTTTGACGTTTAGCTATATTTCAAAGAAACTATTCAAGATATTTTTATCAATTCTGTATGCTTATACATATTGATGAGAGCTATTCAATGGCATCAACATTTTCACCTTTACCTTTCTTTTGACTTTGACTTCAAATTTGTGTTTAGCTAAATTTCAAAGAAACTATTCAAGATATTTTTATCAAACTTCATATGCTTATACATATTAATGAGAGCTTTTTAATCGCATCAACTTTCTTGACCTTTACCTTTCCTTTGACCTTGCCCTTACTTTTCTCAAATTTGTATTAAGCCCATTTTGAAAGAAACAATTCAAGATGTGTTTTACGTAAGCTTATGCACTGATACATTATTTGATGAGAATTTTCCAACTGTGTCCAATTTTATTTTTGACCTTGACCTCCCCAATGACCTTTGATTTTACTATTTATTGTGTATAAAACTCTGTTATAAAGAAACTTTATCAAGACATTTTCATCAAACTTCATACACTAATACAAATTTTCATGTTGCATTACTGATGAACCCTGGCTGAGGTATTCATGTGCTATGGACATATTCCTAGTTTTAAAAAGTCATCAAAATATGATAGGTTTACAAAATTAAAAAAAAAACTAGAAGTAGGCGATACTATCGTTCAAAGTCGGTTTATTCACTGCAATACAATGTTCTTAGATTTCTGGTGAAGTGTTTTACAGTTTTCAGACTTTGCACTTCTCTCCTTTGTGACTGATAGAAAATGCATGATGTGCAAATTTACATTTATCTCACTTTTCAGTGAGATTCTTTCAATGCAGGGGAGATAATTTGCCGACGATCTCACTTTTATATACAATTTTACAAGATTTTCATTCTGAAACGGAAAACATAATAAAGTTACATTCAAGGCATTTAACAATTTTTTGTACTTTAAAGCGTTTCATCACTTTTTTTATATAATGTACAGAAATGTTCTTATTTTACATACAAATGTTAATTTCATTATTATTGTACATTGCTAGGATCTGTTAGAAATTACAGGAGAATGACGTCAGTTAATAAAGAATCTTCAAATCTCAACTATATAAAACACTATAGTACTCTCTTGCAGTTATCAATGAGTTTATTAGTATTTGATGTACAGTGGTAGTCACACACGCTCTAAGTACTTAAATACCATGATTGTTGGGACGTTTTTCTGCAGCGCGTACAGATTGTCGTCTTCGTCAACACAAATGTTGCGCACATTCCTTATTTTTTGTTCTCTTGTAAGTATTCGGGAGCGAACATTGCCTTCTTGGTCAAGAATAAATACCCCTGATGTTTTATAGGAAGCGTTGCACACTAGCACATTCCCTACATTATCTACGGTTACTCCATGAGGCCAAAAATCATCAGTTTTAAAATCAAATAAATGTTTTCCAAATTTGTTCACCGCAACTAATGCTCTTAAATGGTAATCCGATACGTAAATATTCCCCTTATCATTTTCTGCCATAAAATGTGGGAATCGATAGAGAGGTTTTTCGTCATACAATTGAATTTCCTGAAGAATTTTTTTACCGGTTTGGTCATATCTACTTATTTTAGCCTCTGCCTCATTGTCTTTTTCCTTCGTTAGGCCCAGAAATATATCTCCCGTAAGGCAAGATGAATGTATACTGCGTGGAACCCAATCCTCTGTTTTCAAGAATTTTGCAATTCTGAAGTTTTCCATAACTTCAAAAATCCATTTCTCTTCTACATCTGTGAATAGGACGTTTTCCTCTTTGTGTATTGCAATACCTGTGGTAAACGTTGAATTTCTCCTTAGGTTGTGAAAAATTTCTCCTTCGTAGTTGATGTGGATGAGTTGGTTATCCAAATCGCTGACCCATATGTTCCGTGATGATTTACAAGCAATGTGATGAATTTCTTCCATCTCTTCAATCCGAATTTTTTTCTGAAGATTTGCTTTTTCTAAGAGAATGTATCTACTTTCATCATTGCTGTTATTCACTAGAATATTTTAAAAATAAAAAAGACAATTAAAAAATGTAGACAATATTTCATAATTCGTTGGATATAATAATACATTTAAACAATAAAATGCATGTACTGCAGGGATACTGGTTGCGGTATTGCAGAAAAAATATATATCTAGCGTTTACAAGCGGGTTACGTATTTTTTTTTGGGGGGGGGGGATTAAAACCGCTATGCACTCCATTGACAAACGAAGAAAGACATTTTATTGTTTAGCCCAAAGCTAACAACGTTTTTGAAAATTATATTTTTGGGGGGCGGGGTGGGGATTCTCTAAGTTTCCGTAATTTTTTTTCTTTTCAAATGCTTGGAATTTGACCGAGTTCGACCGAACAGCAACAAAAAGTGTGTATGAGAGGGGGGAGGCGAGCAGCATTTAAATGATTGAATTTCTACATATCGAAACTTAAGCCAAAAAAAAGGTCCGAAAAAGTGGAGAAAATAGGCAAAAATTTGAGCCCCCCTTCCTGACACCTTCCCCTGCTTATAACATGCCTGTTTATTGTATAATGAGTTTGGAAACCTTTTACGAATCGAAGTTGCAAGCTATTAAATTAAAGCAAAATACTAAAATACTGGGTAAAACTTAATACTTAAAACAATTTCAGTTGTTTTTTATGCCCCCGGATCGAAAGATCCCGGGGGTATATTGTTTTTGTCCTGTCTGTCTGTTTGTCGGTTTATCTGTTTGTCTGTTGTCAACTTTAACCTTGCCCATAACTTTTGATTGGTTGGAGCTATGACTTTCATATTTCACATGTGTATTCCTTGTGACAAGACCTTTCTTTGGGTACCATCATATTTGACCTTTTGACCTTGACCTTGGAGTTTGACCCACTTTTGCAAAATTTTATGAGACTTTAACCTTGGCCATAACTTCTGAACAGTTGGTGCTTGGGGTATCAAACTTCACATGTGTATTCTTTGTGACAAGGCCTTCCTTTGGATACCAACAACTTTGACCTTTAGAACCTTGACCTTGGACTTTGACCTACTTTTGAAAAACTTTAACCTTGGCCATAACTTTTAAACAGTTGGTGCTTAGGATTCAAACTTCACATGTGTATTCCTTGCGACAAGACCTTCCTCTGGATATCAACCACTTTGACCCTTTGACCTTGACCTAGGAGTTTTACCTACTTTTGAAAAACTTTAACCTTGGCCATAACTTTTGAATGGTTGGAGCTAGGGCTTTCATACTTCCCATATGTAATCCTTGTGACAAGGCCTTCCTTGGAATACCAACCACTTTGGCCCTTTAACCTTGACCTAGGATTTTGACCTACTTTTGAAAAACTTTAACTTTGGCCATAACTTTTGAACAATTGATGCTAGGGCTTCCATACTTCACATATGTAATTCTTGTGACAAGACCTTCCTTTGGATACCAACCACTTTGACCCTTTGACCTTGACCCAGGAGTTTGACCTACTTTTGAAAAACTTTAACCTTGGCCATAACTTTTGAATGGTTGGTGCTAGGGCTTTCATACTTCACATATATAATCCTTGTGACAAGATCTTCCTTTGGATACCAACCACTTTGACATTGACCTTGACGTTTGACTTTTATTTAAAAAACTTTAACCTTCGCCATAACTTTTGAACAGTTGTATCTAGGTCTTTCAAATTTCACAGGTATATTCCTCGAGACAAGACCTTTCTTTGGGTATCAACATTTTTTATCTTTTGGCCTGGATTTTGACTTGCATTTTAGGAACTTTAACCTTCGCCATAAGCTGCCATACGGGGGCATCAGTGTTTCACAAACACATCTTGTTTAATTATGTCATACATATTTCTGCAATTCAAAAATGGAGGGATTATGAGAATTTATCACCCTGTTCATTTTAAATTTTATAATTATGCATTCTTTCGGCAAGTAACAAAAATATTATAATACAATGATAGAAAATTATAATATGTATCTTAATATTAACCTCGTCATAAACCCTTCAAAGTTCTTTTCTATGCCGTTTCGGGAAAAAAAACCCCACTAGCTCCTACATGTAGCTATTCAAAAATATTCCGGTTTTGCTTTTAATTATTTATTATAGTACATTTAACTTTAAACACATAAAACATTTTTTGTTGCATGTTTAATTGCTCTTTTTTTTATTCAGAAAATACCTCTAAACTATTGACTTAATTAATGGGAAATTATCAAGATTATGGTGGAAATTTTAATTATTCAGTTTATGTCACAAAAAGTTGGTTAGGACCCCCCTTTTCGATCAAGTTCGCCTCCCCAATGTCAAATACTTGCCGACGCCCCTATGTGTGACATCTACACTGGAAAATTCGTGTCTGATTTCTGAGGCAAGTTTCATGGTTTTTTCTTAATTTTTTTCTTGTCTTTTGAAATTAAAGAAAAAAAAAGATGTACATCCAAATGACGAAAATAAACAGAAAGTTTCTAACTTCTTTTTTTAGTCTTCTTTTGTACATGCATATGAATAGATTTACTTGGGAAAAATGTGTATTTTGATACGATTAACCGATTAATCGGTCGGAACGCCTTGCGATTAACCGATTAGCAATTCTGTAATCGATTGCCATCCCTAATTCATATCTGTATAAATTATTCTTAAAAAGTGGATGAGAATACATAATATTGAAACGGAAATGGGTTTTGTCGTTTAGTTTCGTATAAAACGTTGGGCATACGTTTTTATTTTTTCATTTCTTAAACACTAAAAATTATTAATTCTACTATCATTTAAGTAGGTCGAAACCCAGAAGGGCAGTTGGCACGTTGGTTGGAAATCCTTAGTACATATAGTTTTGGGATGCAACACCGATCAGGAACCCAACACAGTGATGCAGACGCACTGAGTCGTGTGTCATGTTGCCAATGTGGTTTTGATCCAAACTGGGAGAAAAATTTGGAAAATAACAAGCAAGAAGAAGTGAGAGCAATAGCCCAAGCCAATGGGTCAAAGGAAGACAATGATGATCTAATTTTGTCAATGAGAGACATGCAAGACAAAGACAACGATTTATATCTTGTCAAACGTTGGATCAAAAAGAAGGAAGACCTGAATACAGTGAGATCAGTGGCCAAGGATATGTGGTACGTTCTTCGTGGTCACAGTGGAACAATCTCTATATTGAGAATGACAATTTTTATAGAACATTTGTAGAGGAAGATGAAAAGACTATCCGCTTGCAGGCTATTGTGCCAAGTAGCAAACAACGGACAATATTCGAGTTCTGTCATGATGTGGGGACAGCTGCACATCTTGACGTAAGACATTAGCTAGAATAAGACGAAAGTTCTATTGGCCTGGTTTGCAAGCAGATACCAGAATGTACAAAGCAGGTTGTGAGAAATGCTGTAAGAGAAAGCGTCCTCAAATGAAGAGAAGAACACCCATGGAGTTGGTTGAAAGTGGTTATCCATGGACAGGATCGCCACGGACATCCTGGGAGAACTACCAACGACTGAGGATGGCAACAAGTATATTTTGGTTGTTTCGGACTATTTTACGAAATGGACCCAATTTTTCCCTATGCCGAACAGGGAAGCCAAGACAGTGGAAAGACTTATTGTTGAAGAAGTGATTGCCCGGTTCGGTGTACCATTATTAATTCACTCTGACCAAGTTCGTCAGTATGAGAGTCCGCTCTTTGACGAGATAAGCCAGGTTCTTCAGATAAAGAAAACACGTACCAGCCCCTACCATCCATAAAGTGATGGAATGGTAGAGCGTTTTAACATGACTTTAGGAGTAATGTTAAGCGCTTATGTGAATGACCATCATTCTGATTGGGACAAACACTTACCATTTGTAATGATGGCTTACAGGGCTTCCATTCATGAGACAACTGGGTGTACTCCCAATTACCTGATGCTGGGAAGAGAAGTGTCAACACCACTTGTCATTATGTTTGAGATGCCCAGATCAGTTCAACAAATTCCAAAAGATAAATAGGCATGGAAATTAAAAGAAACCATGGAAAACGCACACAAACATGTCAGAGAGAACATACAAACGGCAATGATTAGGCAGATGAAGTATCACCACCAAAACTGTCATGGCAGAAATTTGAGCCCGGGTGCCAAGTCTCTGTTTTCTTTCCCATTCGGAAGGCAGGTCGCTCGCCAAAATTTACTAGTTACTGGCGAGGTCCTTACAATGTGTTGTCAAAGATGACAGATCTTACCTACAAAGTTGACTGTGGACGTAATGGAAAGCCACAAGTCATACATGTTGACAAAATGCGTCGTAGGTACCCTCAAACTTTGCAAGGCGAGATACCTGATGATGAGAGATCAGCACCAGAGGAAGACCGTTGTTGTTTTACGCCGATTCGGCAATATTTCAGCCATATTTCGGCGGTCGACGCAAGAAGAGACCACAGTGGATGGAAGACTACGTCTTGTACTAGAGACATGTCACAAATTTTTAGAAATTCTGCAGTATTGTTAATATCTATATATTGTAAATAGTCAATCATATGCAAATGTCACGTGCGGTTTGATTGATTGATGGGGGCGTTAAACAACAAACAATCAATCAAACCGCACGTGACATTTGGTACGTCTAGACTCTGATGTCACATGACGTCGTATTTAAGTTACCAAACCAAACCTGAACAGTGCTGATTTTAATGAAGAACGCTTTATTTACTTTTTACTGCAATATATCCATTAAACCACGATGAGTTCATTTTTGTTGAACTTTTGTTGTTATTCTCGTGAGAACGTAGCTTTAACAAGCGATGCATTGTGGGTCCAGAGTTACTATGGAAAAAAATTCTATTGGATGAATGTGCATTAGTCCGAATTTTCTCTTCGCCCAGGCGTTGCTTTAAGAGCTCGCAGTGACGAGCGCCCTAACTGTCCTCAATTTATAGCCACAAGTGCCTACTTAGTACTTGCAACACCAGGATGGCCACCGGTATGCAAGAAACGGTCAAAATACCAGAAAAATGAGCGACACTCGCTATTATGTGCATGTGTGAATTTATTTCAGTTTAATAAATGACAAATAAAATATACTTATTAAAGAAATACGTTTGTATTTAGTATGTGAAATAAATCCTTCAAAGAACCCTAGAGGTCCTTGTTATTGGGAAAAAAACAGGGGTTACATATATATTGCTTTGATTTTATTGATGAATTATTTTATGTTCAATGTATGAGTTTTACTTATTCACCAATCAAAGGTCCTCAAGGGGCATATAAAATGTACTGTTTGCCAAAAAAGGAATCTCAAAAATTAAATTCATTTCTTAAATACATGTACTTGATTATATCATGACCTTTTTATGTAATAATACCCTCAAATCCGACTGTTCCTTAACTTACAATATATTATCAGACATGAAGCATCGTTTTTCAAAGGTGGGGGGACTGGTCCGTCAATGAAAATTGCCATACAAAATTCACAGCAAAATTACTTTTGGAAAAAAAATCGAGGGAAGGGGAATACCCCCGCCCCCCTTCCCCGATACTTAGTACCTGAATAAATGGAAATTAATCTCATGTAGATGTATCTATTTATTTTACCCACATTTATCCGGATTAAACAATCCTAATAATTGGACGATCCTAAGAGTAAATCAATCAAATTACCAAATTCACTTTATGTAGGATTTAATTGTTTACTTACTAGTGTAGGAAAATAAGTTTGTTTGTTTCTCCCGACTCTGAAAAAAAGAAACAAATTGATACATGTATATAAAAGATCTAAATGTTCTGGAAGCTACTGAAATATTTTAAAATGCAATCTTGAAAAGGTTAGATTCACATATATAAAAATATGTATAAAACTAGTGGGTATTGTTTTTTTTTTTTTACAAAAAAACACATGTCTCCCCTTCTTTACCAACATTAACGAGTGCAAATATATGATCAGGGTCAAAAATAATAATGCAGTGCATCTCAACTCAAATTCTGTGTACAAAATTTCAAGTCTTCATGTCAAACGCATCTCAAGTAATGGTCTGGTTGTGTTTTTCTTAATTTAACCTTGAAGAAAGTGGTCAAGGTCAAATATTTTGATGCAGTACATTTAGTCTCAATGTTGTCTTTCCTTGTTCCAAGTTTGAAATCCTAATGTCAAAAAGTTCTCAAGTTATGACCTATACTATATTTTCATGTAAACGATTGACCTTGACTTTATTAATAGGTCAAGGTGAAAAAAATGTTGCCATTCACCCTTCCTCTATACCACCTCTCCATGTTCCAAGTTTAAAGTCTTAATGTCAGGGTTCTCAAGTTATGGTTTAGTCATGTTTTCTCTATTTGACCTTGAAGAAAGGGGTCAAGGTCAAAATTTTGAAGTTTTGCATCTTGTAACAATGTCTTCTTTCTATGTTACAAGTTTGAAGTCCTAATATCAAAGGGTACTCAAGCTAAGGCCTGGACTCTATTTTGATGTAAAAGATTGACCTTGACATTATAATAATTGGATCAAGGTCAAAAATTTTGGTGGCATGCATCCTTCCTTCATACCACTTCTGCATGTTCCATGTCTGAAGTCTTTATAACAAAGGATTCTTAAGTAATGGTCTATCAAGTTTTTTCCCTATTTGACCTTGAGGAAGAAAAGAGGTCAAGGTCAAAAATTTTGGTGTTTTGCATCTTGTATCAATGTATTCTTTCTATGTTACAAGTTTGAAGTCCTAATATCAAAGGGTACTCAAGCTATATCTTGGACTCTATTTTGATGTAAAAGATTGACCTTGACCTAATAATAATTGAATCAAGGTCAAAAATTTTGGTGGCGTGCATCCCTCCTTTATACCATCTCTGCATGTTCCAAGTTTGAAGTCTTAATGTCAAAAGGTTCTCAAGTTATGGTCAGATCGTTTTTTTTCCCTATTTGACCTTGAAGGCAGAAAGGGGTCAAGGTCAAAATTCTAATGCAGTGCATTTTGTCTCAAGGTCTTCTTCCTATGTTACAAATTTGAAGTCCTAATATCAAAGGGATCTCAAGTTATAGACTAAACTCTATTTTGATGTAAAAGATTGACCTTGACCTTATAAATAGGTCAAGGTCAAAAATGTTGGTGGCTTGCACTCCTTCTCAATGTCATCTATCTATGTTCCAAGTTTGAAGTTTAATGTCAAAGGGTATTAAAGTTACGGCCTGGAGAAAATTTGGATGAAGAAGAAGAAGAAGAAAATCGACAAAAACAATATGTCTCCCCTGGAAGGGGAGACATAATTATGTGATTATATATAAGATTGGTCAGATAATAATAATTCTTTTTTTCTCCTTACAATCCAGAATGAATATATGTTGTCACAATCAATGGCATGCGCGTGGTCTTTGCAGGTAGAACATTCGAGTTTTCCGGACGAACTCAAAAATCTTTCCTCGGGTATAATTGCTGATTCCATTCCAATTTCTTTCCTGCATCTAAGTCCAACGTAATATTTCAAACCCTCATCAGCATTCTCTGGATTAAAATTCTGGAGAAAATCTTGAATGCATGTTCTTATATCATTTGTAACACTGCTACTGATCTCATTGTCCTCAAGAACAAATGCTTTTATTTCAATAGAGTATTGTAAAGCTCTATCCAGTATCTTAAAAGTACTTTTGTCCACACATTTTAAAATGATTTTATGAGATAAATTTGTCTTATGCTCCAGAATAATCGCCGTATGAAAGACACACTCATTGCCTCCTTTCTGCCAAATTTTCCAACCTAAAATGTTTATGCAATGGGAAACAAGTTGAAAAAAAATTGTAACAGGTAAAAACTCGAATACGAAGCAAAGTGTGGATGACACCTCATACATCTGAATCACTTCAGTTTCTTCAAACTTTTGTTTGTTCATGAAAGGAACATACCATTTCGTTTCTCCTATTTCTGCCAACATTCCAAAATGTTTCATATAATAAAGCAAAGACTCTTTATGCGTTAAAAACGACTGGTCCTTATTCCATATTGATTCCAGTAAATCTCCACCTACGAGACCAGAGGTGTTAAATTCATTCCAAGTATCACACCAAACGTTGTCGTATCGTAAGGGACTTTCTAGATCTATGAGACATTGAAAGGCATCAATGAACCACTGTATATTTAAAATGACAAATTCCTCTGCGCTGTTATTGCTTGCAAAAAGTATGATTCTGATTTCATGAAAAAACTTCAGAGCTGTAAGCATATCTTTTCTGTCATCTATTCCAATGCTCGTCTCATTTTTTACAATTTCCCACAGGACTGAAATCTTCATTGCATTGCTTTTTTCTCTTAATTTTCTTAGAATAGCTTCAAGTCGTAACCAAGATGTCGGTACTAATTTTCCCCAATGGTCTTGTTCCTTAAGAATTTCAACAATGGTTTGTTTAATTTTATTCAAGTTTTTTCTTGATGATTTGGCTACTGCAAAAACTCTCTCAACATCTATGTGCTTTCGGAGAACCCATGGAAGATCTTTGATTATTTTCTCATATAATAACTTCATTTTCTAAATAAAAGACATGAAAAAAAGTATGAAATTATTAGAATTCTGATTGATTTTAAATTATCGACATGTAACAAAATTTGTGGATTTTTATAGATGATGATGTATTAAAAACATAAACCATCTCTAGGGTCTGTTGATATTTATCAAACAATACAAAGAAATATCGTTTTATAAATAGTACAGTACCTCCTTCTCACAACCCTTCGGAATGTGTTCTGTATGGGAGGCCACAATTATAACTGGTGCGTCCACGGAACCAAATGTATGGATTGACGATATCCAGTATCGAATGTAATCTGTAAATTGAAAATTTAACATTCTTTTAAAATCTAGTACTAGTATCTTTAAAATATGAATTACTAGAACGATTAAGAGATTTTTATTCAGAAAATTATATACTTTGAGACATGTCTGAGAGAAAAAAAAAATTACCTAGATACGTCCAGTCAGAATATACGAGACCCGGTGTTTCACAAGCTTCTTCTGCTTTTGAATCAATATCTTTTGAGGCATCAACGACTAAGAGATGAAAAGCACGTGATCCAAAGTAAATATGATGACAGGCGTAATATGCACTCTGACCTCCAAAATCTAGAATAGTCACATTTTTCAAGTCTTTGTCTTGAACAGTAAAGGGAATGTTTATATTTGTCATATCCAAGTTGAAATTTTTGTTTGGAATGTCTTTCGCTGTCTCCTCAGCATGCACTTCGTTTTCATTTTTAGGCACATGTTGAGCATCTGAATTGGTTGAACTGCTCTGAACAGATTTTGGTATTTGCAAAGGTGTAGATTTTTCGGTATCAATAGTATTTCTTTCCAAAATCGATTTAGTAACCGTAGTAGAATTTTCCAGATCTTTTATTCGGTTTGTTTTTGGATTTTCTCTCACTTTTTTAATTTGATTTCTCTTCAGGTCATTCTCTGATTTTAGGTGTCGAATTGAAATATTCAGCGCTGGTCCTTTCATTTCTTCGGTCGGACAAACTGTAAAGATAACAAGACTAAATACAGGTATATGTATGGACCGGCATTGCCTTCAACCCCTTTTATATGCAAATCCTATGGTCGATTCAATGACCTTGTTAGGAATTACAATCTATCGTTAAGTCGAATGTTGATTGACGTTTTTTCATTTTTCCGTTTACCCGATCAAGGCAAGGAGTACACGGCGGGTGTGACCGGTCGACTGGGGATGCTTACTTCTACTTGGCACCTGATCCCATCTCTTATGCTTTTGAAGGTCTGTGTTTGCTCTGCTCACAATTTGTATTGTTTAAATGGGTTTTTGAGCTTAATTACTGTTTGTTATCTTCATATTTCATTAGAAGTTTTTAACAAATTACAGGCAACATAATGCTAAAGCTGAAACCAATCCAGTCATAGATAAAATAATGAAAGTTTGAGAATCCATGCAGAAAATTTCGAACATATAGGATATTTTTTTTTAATTATCTTAAACATAAGTTACATAGTATTTTGTCGTGTCCTTGACCTAAGTAATTCTGTTCTACATGAAAATATTTGCATAGGAGTTCTTTTACGTATGAGAGGAAAAGTTTTAAAGATAATTTCTGTATTCAAACCACTTTAACGGGATGATTCCGCAATAATTTGACAAACCAAGAGGAAAGTTTTAATACCGTGTCTTTAAAGTACTCTAAATATTTTTCACTTTACAATGATCTTTATTGTTAATTTTATGGTGATCCATGAAATATTTGTCATTTCCTCCTCAGATGGACAAATATCTATAAATAAACCTTCATCTAAGGCTACATTAAAAGGTATAAAATCATAGCAGAAAGAAGACAGAAAGATAAATCCCCATGATTTCATTGGAAGGAACTTAAAAGAAATATTAGTTTTTAACGTATTCAAAAGAATGTGTGAACAAAAAGGTTAAAAATTTAAATGGCCTATGCAGTTTGTCAATCTTTTAATGAGTGGTTTTAGTTTAAAATCCTACCAAAAAAGAACAAAATCATAATCTCATCTATTAAGAAAAAGTAACCTTCTAAATTGTCTCCCTCTACATCGACCTTGAATACGTTCGGGTGGATTTCCAAACTTTTTGTTTGTACTGTTGTGAGATCACGCTCTCCTTTCAGCTTCTTTATCAGAGTTGTTTTTCCTGCTCGGGCCCATCCAACTACTGTACCTTGTCCGTGGAACACTTGAACTCCGCCTGTCTGTATATCTCTAACAAATGTTTCTCTATCATTTTTGCCCATGTGTAATATTTCTTTGGGGATTCTCACTGCAACGATATATACGAAAAAAAACTTACTTAGACACCATTGTCTTACTAATGACAACTTTCTTTCAGACATTTGGTCTTTATCATAAATCCTTGACCTGATTGACATGAAGCATTATCCTTGGTTTTAATCTATAAGTCTGCTAAGTCTGCAAACTGACAGAAATTAGACCATCCTTTGATATTCTATCACGAAGGGGCCAAGTAGATGTTCAACTCTCCTTGTTGAATTTATTTTCTAATGAACAAGGTAAGCTGTTTCTAAATAAAATACACAAATACTTGTCAATATCTGACTAAAATCAGATCTTTTGATCAACTTACGTAGATCGCTACCCTATGTAAGCAGATAAAAAGATCTGGTTTTAATCAAACGCATGCATGTATTTTGATACAAAATGTACCCAAATTTAGTCTCCAACACTGAATTTCTATTCCAATTGAATGAATAAGTTTTTACTTACATTTTTCAGCAATGAACGAATACAAGGAAGTATCACGAAGAGCACAGTGGACTAAAAAGTCATATCCCATCCGATTGATAACATAGAGAAGTTCTTCCTTTCTTTTGCATTCTTTGTGACAGTATTGTTGAATATTTTCTAAGTCAGCATGCTTAATAAAGATTTTGGTGAAACCGGCCCACGTGAAATAAGTCTGTAAGGCTTCTTCCTTAATATTTTGTGTTTTAAATAATACCACGTCATTTTCTACTTTGAATATTTCTCTTTTTTGGAGAGCAATTTCCTTCAATGATTCTCTTGAAGGTACATTTGCTAGCCTGAATATTTTCAGAGCTCTTAGCGAATGATTTAGTGAAAAATCTTCATAAAGTCTTAATTCGTATCTGCTCTGAAGCAACATGCAGCAAAACAAAGCATTCAGGACACAGGGCTTAGTGGAATAATCACCTGTAAGATAAAAAGTAAGAAACCTTTATCAAGTAAAGAAAGTAAGAATGAAAATTATGAAAGTTGCATACTAGTACTTGTGGTTGATCTTAATTGGGGTTTATATATATATATATATATATATATATATATATATATATATATATATATATATATATATATATATATATATATATATATATATATATATATATATATATATACGAGGGTTGTCCACAATGTTCGTGGGCAATGACATTTTTGTCCAACTGAATGGTCCTAGATATACTTATTGTATACCAAATTATTTTTTTAAAATCCAACAAATCTAAGTCAGAATATTTTAGTTTCGGTTGTTTTAACTTATAAAGTTGAAACTTAAACTCGTCATAAACTTGAAATAAAGTTTTTGGATTAAAATGATAATTTCATTTATAAAATAAGCCAAAACTTAATAAAAATAAAATGTGCCTCAAAGAAAGCGGTTGTCGTCATTTTCTGATATTTTTTTTTTGTATTGCTTATATTGCACATATATTCAAAATATTAAGAAAAAAAATAAACCGCAAGAAATATATTTCAAAAATTGACAAAAAAAGTGACGTCGGCCATCCGAATGGAACAGTGTCCAATTATAAAATTATGTTTTAATGTGGTTGAAACGACGTCAAAGACAAACTAATTATTCAAACAATAGAAAATTATTGGAATGTATATAGATCATTGATTTGAAATAGATATATCGCCTTGGCCAAGATCAAGTGCCCATGTTGGTTGCAGATTAACCAAAAAATGAAGTCTAATGAATCGTATTACAAGTATGTTCTATGTAACACTACATCCTTTTTGCAGATTTTCTGAAATTTCTGTCCATTTCTGTCAATCGGTTAAAAAGATTTCACTCTTATTTTAGCAGAGACCCAAGTGGGCTACGGACTATACATATTCAAGCATAACATCTTTATCATATTCAACTAAACAAAAAAGTATAATTCAAATACAAACTCTTCACAAAATATTGTCTGAACAAAAAAGTCACATAACTCATTTCCATCAAAAGTGTTAGAGTATATAAAGGACATGAGTAAATTTATTAATCTCTGGGAGTTTTTCTACTCTTTAATATTTAGACATTTGAAGTAAAAGTACATTAAGTACTTTCCATTTTTCTAAAGATACTGTATATGGGGATGAAAATTTCAAACTTATTTGGAAATACTCAGAGAAAAACTGTGTCAGATATTTTTTGATTGACAATTTTGAGACCCCAGGCTACGGATTATACATATAGCATTTTTCATTTATTGAGAGACCATAGAAATATAGATGTTTGTATCAGTAAATATTTGTTAAAATTATCATCATGGAGTTCACACGTGTTTAATAAATCCTTTCGTTTGGATATTGAATCAATTTTACAAAAATACTGTAAAATTTAACAAAATAAAACAAAAACTTCAAATAAATTCACAATACGAGTAAAATATGAATTGTCAAAACAAAATAATACATGTCAGAATTCAGAATTACACGTGATTGGTGTTTTGATAAAAAAATATATAGTTTAAGACCGTCTAAAGACCAAGAATGAGCTTAGAATTAGCATTTATGAGGCTGAATTTCATGTGAGCACTGGGGCTACGGACTATACTGTTAAACATCTCTATTGTGGACAATCATCTTAAAGAAAATATAATTGTATAATCAAATTTGTGGCAATTTGTTTAATTATTTGGTATTCTATAACAGTTCACGCCACTTAGTTTGAGTATTTAAAATACCATATTTAAAAATCAATTGTCTCATGTACTGTGTACTTTCAACGCCAAATGAAATTCCAGTTAAACTAATTAAAGCATTATTGGTGTTCAAACTATAATGAATAAAAGCAAGAGGAGCTGTATTTAAGTCAAGGCATGATTTTTTTTTTTTGGAGGGGGGGGGGGGCGGGGTTACAGACTATATTGCTCCATTTTTTTTTATTTTTTGATTTTATTTTAATGTAATACATGTACATGGAGCTCAAGGTGGTCATTCAAAAGGTGTATCGGTATATAATTTATCATGATCATATGGTGTAATTCATAAAAAAAAATACAAAAAATGATTGACCATTTGAAGTAAAAACATGATTAGTACAACATTTATCCATAAAGAATCAATGTTGTTTTTTAGATTAACAATTCAGTGACAAGAAGATTTGGTGGCACAGTTATAAGAGTGAAGGTCTCACTTTGTACTAAATTGCTAAGTAAGGAGTTGATCCTTACGTTTTGGGATCAAATCCCACTATGGGATGTTAAGACTGGTTGGTGAGAAAAAATAAGCCATTGAAGTCCCATTTTGCAGTAGATGCATGCAGGAAAAAAAATTCTTGCTAATACAGAAGTATGGTTATATGGTCTGTAAATTTGCTAAATTTATTTGTAGAGTCCGTAGCCCTTTTGTAAGTAGGATTTGTGTGGCCAAATATTCTTTTAAAAATATTCCAATGCTAATTTTTCCAAATTGAATGATCGTATGTATCACAAGATGGAAAACTTTATCATGTATATTTAGAAATATGTTTTGACCACAAAGATAACAGGACAGACTACAGAAGTAAGCCTTTAGTTGAAAAATGTTAATTTTCAGACATTTTATCTTTAATTACAGTGGTATTTGTATTTAAAACATTGCATTTGTTTGAGTAAACATATTATTGTATTGTAGTTATTGTGTCAATAATGTATATGACTTTTTCTAGAAGTTATTATATTAGGGCTACGGACTATACAGGGCTACGGACACCAATCATTCTTCAATAACTTCTTTTGGTGTTAGCGCAAAAGCTATGCATTACTGTTTTTTTTTACTTCACTGGTAACTGTGAAAATATTAAACAAGAGCATGATTAATTATACGTTCTTTGTTGAACACAAAGTAGAATGAAATATGTGAAATATGGGGCTACGGACTATACAAAATATTAGCCCAGTATGGAAAAAAATTACAAAATGTGCACACATTTTACCATATAACCACTATATTTTTCTCATAGTACTTTTCTTCTTGAGTAAATAAAAATTTTAAACAAATAATATTTGCTCTTTTTTGGCTAGAAATTACGCATGTATTCCAACATTGATAAATCTTAAATTATATAACAAAGGTATATCTTCACACATTTATTCATAATTTCCACAATTTTTATCCTTTTTCTTTTCTGTAAAAAATAAACTAAACACGAGTGATTTCTCTAAAATTAAGTATATCTATTTTGGAATGTTTCATTCAAAATAATTTTAGTTAAGCATTTTTTAAAATGTAAAGAATCAAGTGCAACAGCATAAGGCTTCGAATTTGATGGATCTTTAACTTTATTCTGTTGTTTTTTTCAAAGATGCAGATACTATATGTATGATATCATATACCAATGGAAAGCTCTCATTCTGATCTTTGCAATGCAACAAAAGATTTTTAGATTAGATGTAACTATAAAGAGTTACATCTATATAACATCATTTGGTTGGAAATGGGCATCTGATCTTGGCTAAGCCGATATACGATTTTTCAACAGTGTATACTATTTTAGAGACACTACAAGAAGTTGAAAACTACTGATATTTGATTAAAATGGATATCCCTATTCAGGACGTTGTTATAAATCCAGCGCAACGTTGGACTGGACTTTGGAGGCTGTGTATACGAAGTGTTTACGAACTGATAACGCTCATAAATCAAGCTACATTGTGTATATTGTTTTGAATATTAATATATTACTCAGTTCTGGTCTTTATGTAAATATTATCCCACACACATAGCAGTGTGGCATAAGTAAAAAAAATTCAGAATCCATATTTCTGATCTTATCCCAAAACTACCTTAACGTCAGACTGGAACGTGCGGCTTGCATTTACAATTCATATATACCTATAACTTTCGTAAAATAGTGTGCATTGTTTATATTTTTATACATTTACTGAATCATGGTCTACATCAAAATAATATCGTTCACATTTCACATTTAGCAGTGGTCATTATTAAGAAAACTGTAGCATTTGTCTATGAACTGACAATTATATACCGGTATATGAACTGCGTC